ACAACTTTGTCAAAGGATCTTCTGCTGCATTGCCACACCTGAATGCCATCAAGAGTACTGTGCTGTAAAGTATCTATATTATTCAATGAAACACCCAACCTTTGGAGTACCTCTAGAGGTTACAGGTGGCAGTAAGCAGAGGTGAAATACAGCAGCAAGAAGTATAAATAAACCCCGGACTTGCACAATTCAGGGCCCCTTCACATCTAATGCAGTTGGCTGCATTTTGGACTGCACTCCAACTGAACACACAGTCCAAAACCCAGGCTATTCTATGTGCCTAGATCACACCATTGTAGTGCAGAAAATTACAGCATGCTGCATCCTTCTGCACTGCAAATGTGCAAAAACGCATGCAAACACACTGCAATGCATATAGAAGTCCAATGAAAGAAGGAAGTGACCTCACAGGTCAAATGCAGGTAGAAAAGCACACGTCAACTGCATGCATAGGTACAAGGAAAGAACACGCTGTTATGTGCAGTCTCTGGTGTGAATGGGCCCTTAAGGTTCTGGCAGGAGTCTAAGCATAAGAGTCCCATTCAAACATAAAGCAACTCCAAATGCAAAACCAGTAGCACAAATTGGTTACTACACATCAGGTACTAGATGCCATTATACACCACAAGACCGTAGTCCCAACAAGACAGATTTATGCCAAGGCTGTAGACCTACTCCAAGAGACAGGTCTCTTCCCAGTAAACATGTATGTAGGATCAGGGATTGTGGCCCCACAATCCATATATATATATAAAAAAAGGTCTATATATCCTGATCCAGAGTGAGTGAAGGCCATGTTATACCAGCAAACAAGACCCTTCTGAAAGGCTAAGATTTATATTTCAGCCTCACCAGCTCTGTAGTGGAAATAGAAGGCTTTGTGAGACAGGTGGATGTGAAATTTGTGCCAGCTGAGTTGTATTAACACCCTGGAAATTGTTCTGTGCGTAGGAAGGCAAGCCAAGACACCTGTGAGTCACAGTCACACACCCAGGTAACAACGAATAGAAACAATTAGGATTAATGTGATCTGTAAGGAGAAGACTGCAAATACTTTCTCCTCTCTTAAGCTCTAATACATGCTTGTATGGGGGAAAAATGAATGTCAAGTGCCTACCTTATCTTCTAATGACATTTAACCCCTGAAGATTTACTGCGTTCCCCTACTGCTGGGGAATTGGCAGTATACTCACTGCACAAAATAACCATCCTCTCCCTTTCAGGTAGAGGAATTTTCCTTTTTGCTGGACATAATAGATGAATTCAGCTGGGAAGGAATAGTGGGGCCAGTAAATCCCCCACAAGAACCACCTTCTGAAGAACCCCTACAGCTGACAGCACAGGAGTAGGGGATCTTGACACTGGTCAGGAAGGAAACGGATATCTACCAAAAACCACTTAAGGTGAAGGACAACTCTCCTTTCACAGGAGGTTGGTACAAGCACTGGCAGATTCCTCTACTCTCAGGACCCACTACCTAGAGTCAATCAGCTGAGAGAGGAATTTAGTCAGGACACTCAAACTCTAAGAAGCCATAGATAGGGAGAGTCCAACAGTGCCCTGCCACAATAAGCCCAAACTTAAGGGGCCCCAGGTGACAGATTACAGGCTAGGTGGAAACCTAGGGGACAAACACAAGTAGAAGCAAGTAGGTACAGCAACCTCCAGCTTACCTGTGACTTGCTGGTGCCAAGGGCGCCTGTATCAGCCTGAGCTGCAGTTTGCATTGCAGAACCCAACATGCAGCATTATCTTTTCCACCAATAGCATCCTGACAGCCCATGCTTGAAGGAAATGCTATTTAAAGGCAACCAACCAGCCCTTCCCCTTCACCAAAAATGAGGCTTGGAACTAGAGCCTCCGGCACCTAGAAATGACTGCTTCTACCAGGATTAATGTCCCTACATTATCTGGTCAAACAACACAGACAGGCCACAAGCCCAACACAGCTACCACTTGAGCCCCTGCTAAAAAGTGCCCTACAGTGCACACACCCAGACACCCAGAATGTGCTGATCCCTGTCAAGGGAGTATGTCACATCCAGACATGGCCTTTGCTAGGCACAGAAGGAGAAAAGGAACCAAGCAAACCTCCTTCCATACTAAGGAGTGGTCTTGGAGAGCAGTTTAGCAGAGAACCATACCAGCTGTTTCCTGGGGAGCTAGGTAGGTAAAAAGTTGCAGGTGGAAGAAAGTCTAGCCAGAAAAACATAGGCTCCTCTCTCTCACCCAGGTTCCAGGTGATGCATCTCCTTCAGCTGGAGAAAACAAAAACTGACCAGTTCAGCAGAGACTTCCTTTTAAAGTGTACTTGGTGATGCGTTTCCTGTTGGAGGAGGTGCCTATATCTCATGGGATGTCCAGGAAGACGATTTGGGAAAGTTTATTATCCAGCCAAAGTTTTAAAACAGCTAAATTGTCCTTTTTACGTTGGCATACAAGGCTGTGGCTGAGGAGTCCATCAGTGGAAGATAGTCCAGGTAACTGTTGCCCTGGGGTATGCACTTTTGTCACCACCTAGAGGGCACAGGAGAGCTCGAACAGTAGTAATACAAATTGGAAGTGTTGGTCTCCCACAACAAAAACAAAAGTGGTTTATTTACTAAAGCTGGTTCGCTCAAAATCTTGTGTAAGTCTGCATAAAAACCAATTCGCTTCCAGGGTTTATTGCTAAAGCTTAAGTAAACAAGCTGAGGTTAGAAGCTGATTGGCTCCCATGCAGCGCTGCACGAGATTCTGAGTGAACCCAAAAGTGTTGATGTAAAGGGAAGATGGGCATTGGTAGATAGGCCTCTTGTATTGTCTACTGATGCCATAAATTGCCTCTATCAGAGGGAAGCAATGTCTGATCTCTTTGATTCAAGCAGGAGTTTTGGTACACACAAAAAAAAAAAAAAACCTGTTGAGAAAAGTCCACTGTGGGAATTATGCCCCCATTTGTTTTTTGAATTTGAAAACATTGAAAAATTCTTTTAAAGGAACCTGGGAAATGAAAAAACGGAAGTTGCCGCAAGGCTGTCATTAAAATTTGATTTCATCCTGAAGCTGGCTGATTGGAAGGCATAAAGAAGGGGCAAATATAGACGCTATTTTATATCCCATTGAAATGACGTATTGGACCCAGGGGTCAGGGACGTCTTAGATTCAGACTGGACCAGGGGCAGACTGACCATTTGGAAACTCGGGCACCGCCCGAGGGCCCGGGGTCAGTAGGGGGCCCCGGTACCTTTTTCATAGGCTTTTTTGAGTTTGGGCAAAGGGCACAGGGGCCCCATGATCCCCTATTGCCCGGGGGCCCCATGAGTTGTCAGTCCGCCCCTGGACTGGACCAAACACCAACAGACTTCCCTTCATTAGGAAATGAGCTTCTGGTCAGGCTTGGCAGACAAGACTTGTGAGGAAAGGAGGTGTTAAAAGGATAGGTTCACCTTTTGTACAAAAGTAATATGTGCACATTTGTTTTGCAGCTAAAAAAAAATGTGCATTTATTATTTTTGTCTGCAGGAGCCTGGAAAGCATTGCACCAGCAATCAGATCACTGATACCATGCAGGTCTCCTGCAGCTGTCAGTATCGGCTTGCCCATACAGGATGTATGAGCATCCAGATATACTGACACAAAGATTCAATGAACTAGCACGGCGCTCCACAGTGCCGTGGTAGTTCATAGAAAACTACAAGCAAACAGCCGCCAAGACTGACGGGACTTGCAGTTCATACATTCATGGAACTCTGTGGGTAGCAGCTGCAGCACTGGGAAACATGTTACATGTTCCACCCTAAAAACAGGAAGAACATGTTACATGTTCACAAAGGTGAACATATACTTTAAGCCCTGTTTTGGAGGTTGACACTTGGGGAGATCAAAAAGGTAGAAGTAGGAGACTAATGCATTTTTCTTACCGGTAGTAGTTTTCCTCCAGCACATTCCTTAATGAATTTATCAAGGGATTCCCAAATAAGCATTCATCGTCAAAAGGCAAACGTAGATGACCCTTTTCACAAGCAGGTTCAGAAGACCAAGGTTTTAATATCACAAAATTCTGAATCCAGAACAGGGTTAAGGAGAATAAATGACATGTAATGATTCTGGAGTCTGGAAACCAAAAGTCCAGATAAGAAAGCATGTCAATTTCTCCAGGGCAAGGGAACAGCCATCACCCAGAGTTTGATTTTAATTTCCTTTAGGCCACTGATGTTCCAACTTCATTGCTCCTCTGATCTGCCACTGCTAAATGAGTGGATCCCCAGTGGAGTTACTCATGGACTGGAGGTTGGAATGGATGGGGTTGCGTGTGTCCAGATACAGGACCCGCTGTAACCCAGGTGCTGACCGTATCCCTGTGGCTGTCTCTCTCTGCAGGAGCTGAGTGACATTAGAGAACTTTCTTTTTGAATACCAAACTGCCAGGGTGCAAATCCAGTATACCATCATTTGCCTAATGTAAATGCAGACCAAGGAAAGCAGGAAAAAAAGGATCAGCCAATGAAAAACAGATGGGTTTAAGGCCTGCAACACATCACTGCAACAGGATAAGCCCTCCTAAGCAGAGCACTATCCAGACACTAAGGGGAGATGGATTATCAGTATATTCAGGATGAGGTCTTATGGCTTTAGTACCCAGCTCTTATATTTCTCTGAGAAAAGACAAACTCTACTGTATTTTCATTTTTTAATGTTTTGTCTTCATCTTAAAAAGCAGGGCTGCTCTGTTTTTTCTGTAATTTTTTCCAAGACAATTAAAATGTGTGCTTGAGCACGGCAGTCTAAAACATTTCTACAAGCCAAATTGATACAAGTACATGACATTTCATGAGTAAAAAAGAGCAGAAAACTGTATGTGTAACAACAAATGTTAAAATGCCTACGACGATAATAAAAAACATCAAATACGTCATCACATAAAATAAGACAATGTACAAAAGTCGCCAACAGGAGGGACGAGAGGACTACACAAGATACTTTGCTGGAAAACAGTTTGGTGCTCTTCGGGCACATAACTAAAACATAGCAAAATCATCTTCATCTTCAGATTCTGCAAAATATTTCACTTCTTTCCTGGCCCGGCCAGGCCGCTGCCTTGTCGCACTTTCATTGCCGGTTTCTGATGGGAAAATGTCCACGTCTGAATCATTGTCAAATGTGGTTGCTTTCTTTGATTTCTGAAAGAAAAACAGTGCCAGAGAAGGGTTTTAAAAAAATTATAGTTATAATGTAAAAGGGCTCACGTAACAAAAGTTACATTTGCACATCGTAATTAGTATATTTGGTCACAGACTGAACATATCCAGGCTCTCTTAGCCACTAATTAAAGTGGCCTAAAGGGACGACCTAAAAGCAGTTCTGGATGATAGATGCACTCCAAGGGCACCATTTAAAAAGCAGTGGTATGACCTTACTGCATCCATATCATGTTGTGCAACATATTGATAAAGTGCAGCATTGTGCTTTACAAACTTGACACCCTGCTGGCTTCAAGACTTTGAAGTCAGCAATGCGCTATTAAACACTTGCTGTCTTTAGTTTATAAAAATTCCTGGACTTCAAGTGGTTAAAACATTTTTGCATACACATGAACATGTTTAGGGCCCACACTTGTAGGTATGCACACATTTATCTCTGATCATCAGAGTGAGAGCAATCATTCTAGAGCCATAATTACCATAATAATAGTTCATTCTAAACTTAAAAAAACCCTCTAAAAGGTTTTTACAGAGTCACCTGTGAAATATTTTGGGTACCATAGTCTTTCGCCATTTCCCAAATGTGTGCAATTTTGAGTGTTGACATGTTTGGTATCTATTTACTCAATGCAACCATAATCTATTTAAAAATGGGTATTATATTGTTTGTGTTTAATAAATTTTACTTTAGTGTATTTTTTACCTAAAAATATGTTTGAATAAACAGTTCCTGAAAATATCATACAACAAAAACAATTACAGGTGATGGGGGTTCAAAGTCATTTTCTAGCACAGGATGTTGAAATACTGCTGCAGGGAGGCACAGGTGCGCAAAATCACACACACATTATTATATATATAGAGATATATATATATATATATATATATATATATATATATATATATATCTATATCTATATCTATATATATATATATATCTATATATATATATCTCTATCTATAATCGCCAAGTAATACCAACGGGGGGGGGGGGAGAGAACTGTATGTAAGCAATACAGTTCTCTCAGCTGTCAGCTGGTGCATACTGCCTTGTATGGCCATAGCAGAGCCAAACAAAGCAGTGTGCTTACAGTGAAGTGCACACACAGCACATAATGTGAAAAAGTGCACAGTTACCCCTTTGATTGCCCCATGTTAACCCCTTCCTGCCCAGTGCCATTAGTACAGTGTCAGTGCTTTTTATTAGCACTGATCACTGGATTAGTGTCACTGGGGATGTCAGTGACACCAAGTCAGTTCCCCCCAGTGTCAGAATGACCGCAGTCCCACTAGAAGTCACTGATAGCTGCTATTACTAGTAAAATAAATAAAAAAAATCCAGTATATATGCCACTATTTGTTAACGCTGTAACTTTCACGTAAACCAATTATTTACACATATTGGGATAATTTATTTTAAGCAAAGACATGTAGCAGAATACATTTTGGCCTAAACAAAAGAAAAAAAGAAAAAAAAAAAATCGCCGTGGGGGTGCAAAGTGATTAAAATGAAGAAGGCTAAAATATTGGTTAGTTCTGTAATCCTTCTGTACAAGGCAACTTATCATGCAAGGGGGTGCCCTGAGAAATTTCAAAAGGGATGGAACATCTGGGTTGAATCCCACATGACCGTGGAATAGAAAATATTTTATGTCCAGGCCACCTTTTAAGTTGTCCACATATACTGTGCTAATGGTATCATTGTACTGGTCTTTATCCTGGCCCTTTCCTTTCCCTTCCTCCCCCTCTTCCCTTTATCCCCCCCTCTCCTGCAACCCTTACCATCCAGATTACAGTCTAGAACACCAAGTGGTTGTGGACATGATGGGGACATGCATGTACTTCTATACTGTAATGTACTGGTGCTCCAAGTGTGGTTACATCTTGCTGTGGTTTATTACCCTGTTTTGTATTACACTGTGTTGTTGGTTGTTGTACACAATAAGAGCCGGCGAATGCCCGGGAGGCTCTTTTTTTGTATCTATACCCTTTCATATAAGTAATAAACACAAGTTTTAAAAAGAAAAAGTGAAGGAGGCGAGGTAAGCCACAAAATCTTAGTCACATGACCTGTCATGTGACTGACCTTCCCCACAGAATGTAAGTGTACAATCCAAATGCACACGTTCCTGCGCTAAAAATGGCTGTGTGTATAAGTGGGTGCTGCAGCGACCGTCAGCTGGAAGAGAACAGAATCAGCAAGGGAGAATGTCACCAGCACACCGAGGATCACTAATATGGGTCCAAAAGTTTTAATGAACGATCACATAGTTACAGCAAGACAACGTTCGAAGTCTCCTAGGACCCCTTCATCAGGCATGTGCCTTGCTGTAACTATGTGATCGTTCATTAAAACTTTTGGACCCATATTGGCGATCCTCGGTGTGCTGGTGACATTTTCCCTTGACCTTCCCCACAATCACAAAGTGACAAATTCACAGGTTCCACACCAAAAACTACATGTGTGAACAACCAGTAGATGCAGAGACAGGCAATATGCAAATCCAGATCCTTCACTTTCTGCATCCCAGCTTTTTCCGGCAGCAGCACAAGGTAAGGGAGGTGCACTGTGATGTAAGGGAGGGTGGGGGACTCTGACATCTGATGTAAGGAGGGAAGGGGGAGGGGGTGATCTGGACATCTGTTTATAATTAAAATACTACAATTCTCTTAAGTTATTACTAAAGTCAGTAACAATCAAATGCAGCAGCAATTATTTAATATGATAAAGAATAGATACATTTATATAGTCTTTCAGATACAACCGGCCTTTTGAAGGCAACCATAATGCTGATGCTGTCTGCAATGAAATTGAGTCTGACATCCCTGCTCAATATCTTTGAAAGTGACAACTTTTGACATATTAGGGGGAGATTTAGTAAACCTGGAGCGCTCAGAATCTGGTGCAGCTGTGTATGGCAACCAATCGGCTTCTAATAGCTTGTTCAATTCAGCAAGCTGAATGGTTGCTATGCAGAGCTGCACCAGATTTTGCTTGTTCCAGTTTTAGTAAATCTCCCCCTTTGTCTTTTGTATACCATTCCCACTTTAATGAGGATTGCAATTAAGAAAAAAATCCACCCAGTCAACAAAGACGCAGGGAGATGGGTACCATAGCCTTCTATGAGGATCTAGCTCACAGGCAAGGGCAGGAGACAGAGGATTTGTGGCACGGGATGTAAACAATCCACGGAGGCCGTGGGCATTGGATCTAGGTAAATATGCATCTTCAAAAAGGGGAGGGTGTGATGGATTAGCTGAAGAAGCAGTGCAAAAAGAATAAGTGTGCTTTGTCTGAAAGTGTGCTCATTCTTTAACAGCAGCATACATACTTTGCTGGATGTGGATTTCTTCCCAGGATTGTAGTCTCCTTCATTCTCTGAATCTGATGTTTTCCTTTTCTTCCCCCTTCCTTTTGCTTTAAAACAAAGAACAAAAATGTAACATCACATTATTTGTAACCCAATGGCACCTCCTAGTGGCAGAACAGGAATTTCAAAGTCAGAAAAAACAACAATCATATTTGTTTTGGGGGGTTCTGAAAGTGACTAGCTTTTGAAAAAGCAGGAATAGATATTGTGGGGTGGGAGTAGGAAACAGGTTTTTATGTGCATTTCCCCATACAGCATGTCTTTAGAGCTTTATTTGTATAAAATATACATTGCAGAGTAGTAGTCTGGGTACTTCTATACTGTAGGAAAACATGGACTATGCTGGAGCTCTTCAGTGAGCACTAAAATTCAGCATTCACTTACATGAACGTACATCAAAGAATATTCATTGAAATAATTTTTTTTTTGTAAAAAGGATGGCTGGGCAGGACTTTCGTCCTTCCAGGTGGACATCCTATAACTTCCTCCCGAAATGCAGCCGCGCTGCTGAGCTGTCACAGATCACTGTACTGGACCCGCTGCCGGTACCATGTGATCAATCACAGTAGATCACATGACAATTGTAAACAATGAATGGCTTTGATTCACACCATTGTGTACAATTGTGTTGCTAGCAGTGATTGCTCACAATGATTACATGGTACAGCAGGGCCAGTCACAGACCATCTGTACCATGTGATTAGCTATGGCCAATAACAACTAATCACAATACACACTGAATGAATACATTTCATTCAGAAAATTGGTTTATTACAGCATTGGAATTCACAGGTATAAGCAATCATAAAGTGTAAAAAACAAAAAAAAAAAAACATACAAACTATGGTGACACTGTATTGCTCTGGTCAGTGTGTTAAAATCGTATAAAAAAAAAAAAAAGTTTTTTTTTTTCATTTCACACATACTGCCACCAGTCAGTGTCCCTGATCACCACCCCACACTGATTTTATTTCAAAGGTTATTTTCAAAGAAATGTAGCAGAATACATTTTGGCCTAAATTTATGAAGATTATTTATTAGCAAAATTTTATAACGGAAAGGAAAAAAAAAAAAAAAACTTTAAAACAATTTGTGTTTTTTTTTTTTTTTCATTTATTTAGCAAAAAACCCAGTGGTGACTAAATACTACCAAAAGAAAGCTCTATTTATGTGAAAAAAAAATATAAAAATTTCATATGGGTACAGTGTTGCATGACAGTGCAATTGTCAAAGTGCAACAGCGCTGAAAGCTGAAAACTGACCTGGGCGGGAAGGGGCTGAAAGTGCCTGGTATTGAAGTGGTTAAGTCAAATCTTTGGAATGGGATACAGTAAAACGAGTCAAAACTTTTTTTTTCCCCCTTTTGAAGTAAGGGAGGGTTATAACCTGTCAGTTTATTTTTTGCCATCTGTGTCCCATTGGGAAGATTTCCCTCTACTCCCTGCCCCACTCTCGGAACAAGAGGTGAGAGAAAACCCCTGCAAATTAAGAGAATTCCTTGGGACCCCCAGCACCAGAACTAGTGTCCCCATTAAAGATTTCCCCTCTATTAATCTTCTGGGGACAGCCCAAAATTTTGAGTTTTCCTTTCTTTCACTGTTGATGATAATGGCAAACAGGACTAATAGAGAGGGTGAATTTCTCTAACGGAAACACAGACAGCAATAAAAGCCTAAAAGGGGTTCTAATCCATCTGCACTCTGTCCAAAACTAAAAAAAAAAAAACCCCCACTGCCTTTCTCAGATAGACTTTCTGTCTTGCAAGTGAACGGGAATGCCCTCTTAGACAATTGTTGCAATAATCGGTGACCTGACTGGACGATTTCTCTTCTATACCTGGTGTGGTGACTGCTGTAAACATTTGGCCTTCCTAGAATTTTGTGGCCCAGGGACAATAGGCAGGAGGACAAACCAAGAGAATAAAACAGCTAAGCATTAACAAGACAAGGACCCAGGCATTCAATTAGTAAGTCCCTAGATAATAGTAGCCTCCTAGATTGTAAGCTCTAACGAGCAGGGCCCTCTGTTTCCTTTTGTACCAAAGTGTATTGTAACTGTAATGTCTACTTTCATTTTGTAATGTGCTGCGCAAACTGTTGGCGCTATATAAATCCTGTATAATAATATAATAATAATAATAAGCAGTAAGGGGGAAATGGTGAACTTGAGTGAAATTAAAACTGTGAACTCACTTTTATTAGTATTTTGAGAGCTGCACATATGGATTCAATAGTGCCCTACTGGTGGTAACTAATAAAAGCAGCCAACAAGGTTCAATTACACAGATTCATATTTATGCAAAGATTTTTGAAGAATTGTTACCAGTTACCTTTGGGAGTTGTAGATTTCTTTGGGGAGCTTAACTCCAAATCAGAATCTGAATTCACAAAAACATCAGACTTCTTTGGCTTTGGAGGTCTTTTTTGTTTTGGCGTTCCATCTGAGGAGGTTTTTGCTGTTTATGAAAATGGAAGAGCTGTAAGTTACCAAGCAAAAGCAATGGCCAAGTTCAGTCTGTGGGCCCAAAAAACTATAATGACAGACCAAACTAATGAAAAACAAAACAAAAGAACAGCTGAGAAATGTACACCGCAAGACAGAACTTAATACTGATATTTCATAAAGCTGACCCAAAAATCTTTTCAATGTATTTAAAAATCTGAAGCCCCCTTACCTTTCTTTGTTGATGTTTTGCTGGCTGGTTTTTCTGAAGACTTGAAACTGAATGTTGAAGAGTAAGAGGGGGGGGAAGGCTCATCCTCATCACTATTAAATTTTGTTGAATCTTCTAATTAAAAAAATAAATAAAAACTCATTCCATGGCAAGGGTTTCAAACATGTTTTCAGTCAAAAAATGTTAACATCTCAAGAACTTGTCCAGTTTAAGTCTGATCTACTTAAGTATTCAGTAAAATAGGATATCTGTACTCAGATCCTTTTCTCTGAGTCTTGGGGGGGGGGGGGGGGGGGAGAGAGGCTTTGAACATTAGTTATACTACTGAATACAGGGCCACTGGAAATTGGGCAACCAAAAAAACTTGATTATAGTGGTGGGACTCTGACAAAAGGAATTTTCCTGTAAATTCCATATCTTGGAAGTACTGTACAAGACAATGGTTGGATGCTCACAGACCATGTGTTATAGGCTACTACCTTCAGGTGATTGGACAGCAAAACTTTTGGGCCTCCTAGGTATATCCAAGTAATGAAGATTAACACAGAACAGAGTAGATGGTGTTCTGTTACTGTACTCCAAGATATGGAATTTACAGCCAGGTCCTTTTATCATAATTGTACAAGACACAGGCTGGATAAGCATAGACCTGGGACATCCCCAAGCACTGAACCAGAGAAAATCGATAATAAGGCAAACATAGCAATCCCAACAGGCCCAACAAAACAGACAAGAATCAAAGACCCAACTCAAATTACCACTGACAGCACTTTGAGGCCGAAGGCTGCATCTGCTGAGGCACGGACATCTACCTGGTAGAACTTGGAGAAGGTATGAACTGAAGACCAGTTGGTGGCCTTACAAAGCACAGCAACATAGGCTTGAGTTTGGAATACACAGGAAACTCCCAATAATTTGGTGGAGTGAGCACATAAGTGTACTGGTGGTACCGCTTTACGCTTGTAGAGTATAAGCTCTTACAAAGAGTGGTCTTCAGTTTTCTTATCTAGCAGTAGTTTACTTGGAAGCAGGTTGCCCCTTTTGAGATCCTGGTGGCAAAATAAAAAGTCTGTTTTCCGGATGGAGTCCATTACTTTCAGATGGACTCTCCTAGCTCTAACCTTGTTCAGACAATGGAGAACAATTTCTGGGGGATGCTTAGGAAAAGGTCACAAGGAAGAAAAGAAATGTCTTATTTATGGTGCAAAGCTGATACCACCTTAGATAGAAAGGAGGGTCTTGGACCTCTTTGTGCTAGTGAAGAATCAGGAAGGGCTCCTTACAAGAAAAAGTTGCCAACTCCAAAACAAGTCTGACAGACAATGATAGACACCAAGAATGCCACTTTGCAGCAGAGATCACCCAAGGGAGTTCCCTAAATGGGTTCAAAAGGGTGGTTTCTGTACGGCAGAGAATCAAAAGTAAGGTCTCAAAGAAACACTGGGTGCTGTAGTTGGGGGTCTGATCAAGCAGAATATAAAGGGTTTAACAAGTGTGAAGTGAAGCTAAAGGTTTCTGGAATAGAATAGATAAGGCTGAAATCTGTCCATAAAGTGGCTCTAAAAGCTTAAGGTCCTTTACCTTAATGCATTCTATGCAAATTAAAAAAGCTTCCATGATCAGCTCTCTGCAGCCGCCCTCCCCAATACTTCCCTGGCTCCTCTTTCGATCCAGCACTGTGCCTGAGAGCAGCATCGCTGTGGTCTGTCTTCACAGGCACAGAAGCAGCGGCAAGATGCATTGACTCCTGCTGCTGTCAATCAAATCTTGTGAAGAGGGAGAAGGGATGGGGCCTGAACCACGCTGCGTACGTCTCTGGACAAAACGGGTTGCTTTACTAAAACTGGAGAGTGCAAAATCTGGTGCAGCTCCGCATAGAAACCATTCAGCTTCCAGGTTTGTCAAAGCTAAATTGAACAAGCTGAAGATAGAAGCTGACTGGTTACCATGCACAGGTGCACCAGATTTTGCACTCTCCAGTTTTAGTAAATAAACCCCACAAAGTCCGGCTTGGGAGCTAGCCCGCATGTCTACCCCTATAGCAAGCAATTGCTATGTTGGCAGACACAGAAAAGGGGGGATCCAAGAGAACCAGCAGGGGATCTCAGAATAGGAGGTTCAGGGGCCACTCTGTGCAAGATCATTGCACAGAGCAGGTAAGTAACACGTTTATCATTTTATTAAAGGAAAAAAAAAAAAAAAAAAAAAAGTATCCTTTAAGAACACTGTAAGAGCATTTATGGCCAATTTTTGGTCAAGTCCCAACTGCAAGAAGGCACGAGTAATCTCTGGAGTTGAAATGCCTGTGTTCACACCAGGTGGATGAACGTTTATAGGTAGCAAATTTCTTTTAAAGTGGTTTTTCTAGCTTTGGGTAATGTGGGAATGACAGATATACTCCTGGCCAAGCAAAAAAAAAAAAAAGGCACTGAACACACCTAAATGGGAGTTATAGAGGACTTTAATGGCTGAATAGACTAGAAGAGGAAGGCAACAGCATTCCAGTCTGCAGATGTCAGAACCAACAGAAAGGGGTGATGCAAGCAGGCCCGGTACCCTTAGTAGCGTATGAGCTGGAGGTACATGTTAAAGTGGGAGAATCTTCAGTGACAGGGCACTGAGGCAATGCCAGCAGCTCTGGAGTCTAGAAAGCACCCTTTGGGGAATCTAGTCCCCGAAGGTCACTTTCAGGCTGTTACAATGACCACTTCAGCAGGGTCAAGATGCAGCACTCCAAAAGACGGGCTGAGGACGCCAATGCCACAATGGTGATTGAAGAAGCCATTTCCTGCAGAAATATAAAGAAGAGTCTTGATTTAAGGAGAAAAAAAAATATTGAGTAATAAAAAAAATGGTGCTAGCAAAATTAGTCCCACACAGCAGAACTGAAGAGAAGTTACTCATTCAAAAAAACTACAGTATGCTGGTAGTCAGGCAGCCTAGAGATTTGTGTTTGCCAATGTCCATTTCTCCTGTAGTATAACTAAAGATTAAAAACTTCCTATGTCCCTCAATGGATGAGAAAGAGAAATGTTATTTCAACAGCCAACAGTGTGGAGAATTAAAAGAGGAGCTTTTCTTGAGCCTCTGTTTACTTCAGACATAACTGCAGGTTAATATACATGTTAAACCTAGTATATAAGCCTACAATGGATGTAAAGCCAAAACGAGTGAAAAACAGCCCATTTGGTTTGGAGAGACCTTCAATTATATCCTCATGTGTCTGCAACAGTCTGGGACAGGCCACAGACACGGGGGTGTGTCTCTGATGGGGTCTTAACAGGGGCGGACTGACAACTCATGGGGCCCCCGGGCAATAGGGGATCATGGGGCCCCTGTGTCCTTGCCCAAACTCACTCAAAAAGCCTATGAAAAAGGTACCAGGGGCATCTCATGGGGCCCCCTACTGACCCCGGGCCCTCGGGCAGTGCCCGAGTTTCCAAATGGTCAGTCTGCCCCTGGGTCTTAACCATTGTCTACTCAAAATAGACAACAAAACAACAAGTTTTAGCTTTACTTACACTTTCATTTGTGCACATATAGCATGCTCTAGCCTGATCCTGTCATTTATTTCCTCCTAATAGATCTCCATCTTGAGTTCTCTGCCCAATACTAGAACTCTTAAAGATGTCATTAAATTGTGAAGGGAACAAAGATAGCCTGAACTCAAAGAATGGCATTACCTTTCTTTGTTGATGTTTTGCTGGTTGTCTTTTCTGAAGATTTGAAGCTAAAGGATGATGAGTAGAGGGGAGAGGAAGGTTCATCGTCATCACTGTTATATTTGCTGGTATCTTCTAACAAAAAGACAACAAAAAAAATTAATGATTACTGGTGAAGTTATTTTAGTTTACACAAAAAAATGGTCTGTCCACCAAACCACCTGCCAAGTCTGTCAGGGACGTGACAATGTTTTGTTGCTATTATAAAAGATTTTACTCTCTCTGCTGATTTTTTTTTACATTTCTCATGTGTTACATTTTGAAAAAAGATCAGGGAGCGCACAAAGATGGGTGGATATACTGAAACTTCCAGGTGGACAGAAACAAGGTCAAGAATCATGTTTTGTGTGACGGCCAGTGTGGACTGCCCTATGTCTGTTTTTTTGTGAACGTGTAACTTGTGCCCTGTCTGTGTGAAACTTCTTTAAATATAGAAAAAAAAAAAAAAAAAAAAAATCATGGCAGGGAGCTCTTGCTGGTGAGTATCCAAAATATACCAAGCCTGTAGCTAATTTAGACCACCAGGATATACTTAACAAAAATGTCAGTTTGGTGAACTAGCCATATTTTAGTCTAATACAACAGTATTCAGAATGACAAATCTTTATTTTAGCATTGGGGTTTCAAAGTGTAAACCAGCCTCTCAATCAGGGTGCCTTGAGGTTTCTTCAGGGGTGCCTTGCCAAAATGCCTACAAGTTGTCCAAAACTTGTATACAAGCCAGCGGGTGAAACAAGCCTGCCTTTCAGTTACACAAAGCCACAGGTTTTCATTGTGCACCATTACCACCTTCTAGCCGCCAGCGTCCTGACAACCAATGAAATTATCAGTTGATAAGGAGGATGTCAGCTGCCTGCACAGCATCCTAGTTGGACCCTCCCCTGCCTCTCTCCATCAGTGTTGCACCGTTACGACCTTTTAACTGCCGACAACCTGACAACCAATATCATCAGTTGATAAGGAGGATGTCAGCCGCCTGCACACCATCCTAGTTTGACCCTCCCCTGCCAGCCTCTATCAGTGCTGGGGTCACATTAGCTTAGTGATGGAGAAAAACTGAGGGAGAAGAGAAACACTGGAATACTAGTCAGTACCAGTGTGCAAACATGTATTTGCTTTGGAAGAATAAATCACCTCTAATGTTGGGTGTCCTACATGTGTGGATGTTGCTGCTCTATATAAAAACTATTAGAATAGTTTTTCACATTTTAGAATTGGGTGCCTCAAGACTGTCCAGAATTTTAAAGGGTATCTCAGGATTGTCCATAATTTTAAAGGGTGCCTTTTCTGAAAAAAGGTTGAGAAACACTGGTGTAAACCTCGAACTGTACACAGTAGGGTTCAGCATCTAAAAGTTCTGGCTGGAAAACACACTGAAAGGATTATCTGGACTCTATAATTATCAAACACAAAACATTTGATAGTCAGCATCCAGCTTAACATGACTTAGAAATAAAAACACCTGCACAATTCAATTTGCTAATATGAGCAAGTAGCTCTTATATACTTAATTATCTCAGGGATATGTATTGAGGTTGAGCTTTAGTCTGGTTTTTATTTTCCTTTTTCTTTCTTTAACCGCTTGCCCTCCAGAGGATATACCCCCCTTCCTGACCAGGCCATTTTTTGCTGTTCAGCACTGGGCTATTTGAACTGGTAATTGCGCGGTTTTGCAATGCTGTACCCAAACGAAATTTGTCTTTTTTTTCACACAGCTTTTCCCTGTGTTAGTACAGCCAGAGCGATGTACAGGTACACCACTTTTCCTGTAGCTGCCGCCCTGCCACAGTACATTGCAGGGGGGACAGGAAGCAGTTAAACATATATATCAGTTCCCTCCTTAATATCTTTTCTCCTCTGGGTACTGAGGACACACATTTTATTTTAATTTAGTTTTAAATATGTGCATGTGCTTTTCCCATGCATGATTGCTTGTGAGGTTTTCCGTAAGCATGTAGGGAAACCTGCTACCCACCCCTCCACCAGCCATGATCTGTCTGCAATTCATAAAGAAGCTGGTGAAGACATCAGTGTTTAAAATAATGTAATGAAAATGGAGAAGTAGATATTTAAAAATGTTATTGGCATATTGAAGAGGGGAGGAAGAAGGAACAAAAAAGGAGGTAAAAAATGAGCAGAATAAACTTCAAGTGATTCTAAACATTTTTTTTTTCTTTAAAATAACAAACATGTCATACTTACCTGCTCTGTGCAATGGTTTGGGGGGCTGGAGGGCGGTGTTTGGGGGAAATCTATGGAACTACATGCAGAAGATTTTTTACCTTAATGCATAGAATGCATAGAAGGTAAAAAAAAAAAAAAAAAAAAAAACCCTTTAGCTTTAAAACTTGGTCATGAAATTACATTTTAACACTAGGTTCCTCTTTCTGTCCAAAGTAGTATCCGACTTGACACTCATCCCTACCTTTCCTAACTGAAGGTTTGCTGGGTGTTTTATCAGTAGATTTGAAGCTGTACGTTGAGGAGAAAGGTTCATCATCGTCATCATCATCATCATCTTCATCACCATCACTATTAAACTTAGAGCTATCCTCTAACAAAGGAAAAAAAAAAAAAAAAAGGGAGGGGAGGTTACTATTAATAAAGCCGCAATTAAACACATTGCTAGTTAAAATGACAATAAAAAAGGCAAATTACCATTCTGCACTTTTTTAGAAAACGAAGAAGAAGAAAGAAAATATGTCAGAGTGTTTTTTCTTCTGAGTTTCTGATGTTTTTCTGTAGGTGGGAGACCAGAGAGGTTGAGAATCGATACAATAGCAAATCATTCAACAATATGCTAACAGAATCTTAATGATGGAAGATACATACTCCGTGGAAGATTTGAAAGAAGAGAAATCATATTCATCCTTCTCTGGGCTGTCAGAATGCACTTCATCATCATTTCTATTATTTGGAACCGGGGATGATGGGGGCTTGAAGTCATCCAACTCATTGTTGGTAACAGGAGCTTCATCGTCGTCTTCTGCTTCTTCCTCTTCTGAGAAGTCAAAAGTGTACTTGGGTCTTTCAGCTGTGGAGAACATATACATTCAACCTAAATAGGAAAGTTGACATCTGCACAAATTACACTTAGTAGGTATATTCATGCTGACCCTTTCCATGTGCTATGTGGAGTAAGCAGAGCAATACAGCAGACAATGTCTATACTTTCTTCTACCCTTACAGTGCACCATTTATATCATCATCATACAGGATTTATAAAGCACCAACAGTTTGCGCAGCAATTTATAACATGAGGCCAAACAGTACAGCTACAATACAATTCAATACAAGGGAATCAGAGGGTCCTACTCATTAGAGCTTACAATCTAATAGAGGAGGATCAAATGATGCAAAAGGTATTAACTATGGGGGTGTGATATAAAAGTACAGTTGTTAGATGGAGGCAGGATAGGCTTTTCTGAGGTGCCTCTACTCTAATAGAAACAAGCATCTTGGATATATTTCACTTTTGTTCATTACATCTAGCGGTCTATTTCTAAAAAATTTGCAAAGCAAATGTCTTCAGCATTTGCAAAAGCATAAATAATCACTGTACTGTTTGTAATGCGCTTACCTTCTATGATCGTCGGCTTCCTCTAGTGGCCATAATGCAGTATGACCTCAAGAAAACAATGCATTATGGCCATTAGACGAAGCCGACAATCACGGCAGATATTCAGATTACGAAACAATGCAGTGATAATTCTTTGTGCCTGTGCAAACGCTGCAGACATCTACACAGTAACTTTTTATATACACAGACCCGTATACTTTGCAGTTGGCAATGGTTAGTACCGGTAAGATGGCCTACTCTGGTGTCATCCATGCGAACACTGGTAACGCCTTAGTAGAGCCCCTTTGTCCAAATGCTCACGGCGGACACCGGAGACCCTGGTGATTCAAGCCCTGCCTCTATTCTCAACCTATGCTGTACTGCTTCAGAAGAAACAGAACATCAGGGCGTTTTTCTAGACCCGAGATATGCAAGAACTGGAGAACACAAAGCAGGATCTTTAACCAAACTAGCTATAAACTGACTAATTAGAGACTGCATATTTTCACAAATAATAAACACAATGTTCTCATTGCAGGCATTTCAATTGAATGGGTAAAAGTTGGATCACTTGGATATAAATATCTAAAACAAAAAATCAAGTGCTGAATATATTAAACCATTAAGCTCACCAGCTGCCCTTCTTAATGAGGAATCCCGGGGAATAACCACAGCTTCTGTTACATCAGCCTCTTCCAAATCACTGTCTGACTTGGACTCATCCTCTGACCAGGGGTTCCTCTTTTTTCCTTTCTTAACAGGGGTTTTTGGAGTAAGAGAGTTCTTTTTGGCTCGAGCGCCTACAAAAACAAAAAAATGTTGAACTTCGTTATAAGCAGAAAGCTGCATCATAGGGTGTAATAAACGTCATCACAGGAAAATTCTGTGGGTGTCTGTGAGGGGAATTTGTGGTGTACAAACGTCAAACACGAATGCTGCAATCACACCTAAGCAGAGCATTTTTCAGGAGTTTTTATTTGAGCTTTTTTGCAAGTATATACAGGCGTTTTTAGAAAAGCATTACAGCTGTTTTTACATGTCTATTCAAGCTTCAGGCTTTGTTTTAGCCAATGGAAATCACTGGGGGAGGAGATCAGTTAATATAGGCTAAATACACCTGAGAAACGCTCAAATGAAGAGATTTCAGGTGTTCCCATTGAAGTCTATAGAGCCAAAAACACTCAATTCTGCCGGAAAATTAGCTCATGCACTTTTTGGAGCGATAGGTATTCCATTACAAGCGTCAGGATGCTTAGATGTAAACAAAGGGCTATTGAATACAATGTTTGTGCTTGCTGCTTGTTTTGCTTTGAGCTACAAACTACAAAACTCTAAGAGGTGAATGGGGACTTGCATATTACAAAAAATACAGGATAACTCGAATATTCATTAATTGCAATAAGTATACAGGGAAGAGAAGTTATGTGCCTTCCAAATGAATGCGTCAAGAAGAGCAACTGGAAAAGAAGGAATACCAAGGATAATAAGAACAGCTGCATGCTCTGTGATATACCATCAGACTCCTGTCATTACCCTTTGTTCAAACTTTGGCTGAGCTGAAAATACTTTTCAAAAAATTAAATTGCATGTATAGACTATATCCCTGTCTGTTAATATAAAAAAACTGATCAGGCTTTTTTTGATCAAGTCAAGCTTTAGGTATCCCATAGAAAATAAAATTACTTTAGATATCTTTTTGCTATGGGTTACTACACATCACTGTTCTCTGCACTTCCTAATTTAATCATTTATTATGCTGGGTTAGATTTATGTTAAAATGTATATAGTAGCTTTCACTTAATCAACATGTAAACTACACTGTAAGCATTTTGTTCATTTCAAAGATTGTGTGAACGAGCTGGAAAAAGATAGTACAGCTCATTCTTCACTAGTTTACAATGTCTATCAGAGTTGGTCACTTATTGTTTCAGTAATCTGTGTTCTTTGCTTTGTGAAGATTTAACACTAGCTTCAAGCTTTTGACAATATTTGGGTAGTGTTGCATACCGGATTCTCTCTCTTTCCTCTCTCGCTTGGGCTTTACTGGCTTCACTGGAGTAGTAGTTGTCTGAGAGTCTTCACCGCCCTCTGCTGGAGTAGAGCCAAACTCATCATCAAACTCCATTTTTATCGCTAAAGAATCCATTTCTCCCTGCAAATGAGAAAATAAAACTAGCTTATGAATTGCCAAAAAGCAATTTACAGGACAGGAGAAAATTTAGCTACTGGCTGGTGTCGACTGTTTAACTGTGATCAAGCCTGGGTTCACAAATATGCGAATTCGGATGCGATTTGAACCACAGCAATTTCGCATGACAGCTCAAAGAAAATACTTTTCTGTGGAGCCCGTTCACATACATGCGGGTCAGCCACAGTGCGATTCTGAAAAGGGTTCTGTACCATTTTCAGTGACGTGCAGGTGTGATTTCCAGCTTGATACACTAATTCGCATCAGAATCACACCTGCACTGCATGAATAACAATCGCACCGTACCACCCATCAAAATGAAAATGCATCCCGCACCACATATGTGTGAACCCAAGCTTAAAAGTGTGCATGGCTTCTAGGGGACCAAGATGTGACAGTTGATACTTCCCACAATTCTTAGCAATGTGTAATAATTTACGATTAGTCACAAGTTTAAAGATATATGGACCGATTCAGAATTTCAAAGATTAACATCTTGTCGTTCTGTCAAATCCTGATGTAAACCTACAACTAAAACTATTGACAAAAAAAAAAAAAAAAAAAAAAAAGCATGCATGGTTAAAAAGAAAGCAGGCTCACCTTCTTCTTCTTGAGCATCTTTTTACTGACATCAGCCTTCATTGCCGTAATCTGGGGCTCGATCCTTCTGCCATACATTGAAGGCAAGGTCTCTTCGAGCTGCAGCCTCTTCATTTTTGGTTTCCCTATTTTGCCTTTTACTGCTTTGCTTGCAAAACCAGCTGCGATGTCCTCCTTTTCCTGTGCTTCCACTCTCTAAGGATATATATATATATAAAGAAAATAAGAAAGCTCTATTTACAGAGGCAATAGTTTGCTATACACTACAATCTAACATTACTTTGTATGTCTTTCCATAACTATAGGCACTTTAGTTCATAGGATACAAATCAAATTTTGTGTTTCACTCTACTTCGCTTTCTCTATCTACACACAGACACACATTCGTTCATACTGTAAAATCTCTAATATAAAAATTTACCACTGAAATTTTGAGTGACCTTTTATTTACATCCCCTCTAAGATCTATGACAAAATTCTCAACTGCGTAATGTAAATCGAGCACAATCTAGTTATTTTGAATGGACTAAAACTGCACAATCTGGGTATACCTACAACTGTGAAATTGTTGGATTTTATTTGCTTTCCCACCAGTCCGGGAGGGTAGCAATGAAAAAAAAAAAAAAAGGACAAAAAACTCTGCTTTGCTTCACCCAATAGAAAAAAAAAAAAAAAAAAATAGCGTTCTGTTTTAATTTTCTCACAAGGTATAGACAAATGAAAACCCACATCAAGCTCTTCGACGAAAGCTGCCAAGTCCTCCTTCCACAGGTCTGATGCAGATTTTTTCTTCAAGTCATTCAGTTCCTTTCCCTGAAACACAAGTGAAAAACATTCTGTAATCATATGAACTCACTCACAGAGCCCAGTGACCTATCTGCAGTTCTTCTTTCTCAGTATGAGAGCTGAACTAATAATCGTGTGAATTAGAATGGTATATTTAAAAGATGCTAAGGCAGTACAGCATCACAAAACCACATCAGGCATAGCTGCTGCTGAGGGAGGGCTTTCAGTTCCTGGTCCTCAAATGCCACGCCAAAGCCGGGGTCAATACATCAAGTGTCCAGCATTCATCAGCACTGCCTACAGCAGGCAGGACTGAGATATGCCACAGGGTGGGTAATTTGTAGGATGACACTCTGTAGAAGGGGAGATAATCGCAACAAGGGAAATGGGCCTTTTTTTTTTTCCTCTTTTCTTTCATCTCTACATACAGTATCTACAGATGGCTAGAAGGCCACCCCACAGTGTTCAGGTATTCCTTGAATTCAAGTCTACAGGGATGTGGAAAACAAGAAACAAAAGAATGTAATGTTGCACTTCATTGCAAGTATATAATATATAAAAAAAAAATGTGAGAAATGTCTATCAAAGCAACAGATTTGTTTATCTTAATAGCCTAAACATATCAATACTGAAGCAGAGAGGTTGTGCTGCTGCTTATGAGATACAGATACCAATCATTAGAAGTATAGGAAACTTTGAAAAAGGAATATATTTGTTTATTTTAAATAAAATAAAATGTGCAATCTTGCTATTAAAAGCAAGAACTGTACAAGCGAAATGCTGGAAACATGTTTTTAGCGGATGCAACTTTCACTCAATTCAGTGGAAATGCATGTCAATGCACGTTAATGTGTATTGATACACACTGCAACGTGCATCATGCATGCCATAGACGGGATGTTTATCGGCCGAATTGTTGGGTAATAAATGAAAAAAAATCGGTCGTTGCTGCCACCAATGCTTACGAAAAACGTCCGTTTTTCGTAGATTTTCCAGCATGACCGATAAAAAGAAACGAGAAGAACCGCGAAAATCGGCCGACGACATTGCCCCACTAATGGTGTGAATATCGGCCGATTTTTCATTTGGGCAAAAATTCGGCCGATAAATGTCCTGTCTATGGCCTGCATTACAAAGTAAGGCAATGTGCAACAATGTAGACAGATTGTTTTTTTTTAAGTTTTTCCACTTGCATCAAATTGCAAAGGGGTGAATAAGCCCGTAAATAAACAAACAGTCTACCTTTCTGACCATCAGAACAGAGGAAGTCCGATTGGCTGCACTCCAAACAATTCACTTTATTGAACCAGGATAAAACCAATACAGACAGTGGAAATAAAGTGAAGGACTGGCAGGTCCCCCACTGTATATCCATTGTCTGCATTTTGGTTTTATCCTGGTTCAATAAAGTGGATTGTTTGGAGTACAGCTGATCGGACTTTTCTTCTCATCTATGCAGCACACGAGCTGGGCTAGCACCTAGAGGAGGAGTTGTGCTTGGAGAAGGAGTCTCTCTACCTTGAGTAGCAATAAACATATCTCTCTGACCTGATTTCATGTTACACCCACATTTAGTGTGTAACAAGAAACATAGCGACATTCCCCAGTCTCTGCCCTGCAAACCACCTTCCCCACTTAGGTGAATTGTGGGATGGTTCTCCTGGGAGCACCCTGTTCATTTGAATTTAGCATGACTTGTACAGGTGAGCTGCATCCTTCATTCATAGGTCCACTCAAAGGACTTGTGAATAGGAAGACTACAAGTTACACCTGCTACTGTGGCAGAGGGACTTGTAGATTTCAATGAAACATAGGTGCTGTAATGTCACTTCCTTCAACCCCAGAACCGAAGGTCTGTAACGTTGGTAGCAGGGGCAGACTGACCATTTGGAAACTCGGGGACTGCCCAAAGACCCGGGGTCAGTAGGGGGCCCCATGAGATGCCCCTGGTACCTTTTTCATAGGATTTTTGGGTTTGGGCAAGGACACAGGGGCCCCATGATCCCTTATTGCCCGGGGGCCCCATGAGTTGTCAGTCCGCCCCTGGTTGGTAGTGACCTGGGGATGATGAATAGTTAGGAACATATGAATTGCACCTGTGATGCACCAATCGCAGTTGCAATGCTTTGCAGGCTCAAATGCCAAAAAAATTATAAATGTGCATTTTTTCATTTCATGTGGGCACATTTAAAATATTTTTTCAAAAAGGTGGACTATGCCTTTAAAGTTCTGCCAAACGGTGTTACACACACACAATCAGTGTGACATACCAGATGATGGAGCGCTTGTAATAATCATACCTTTGCGTCCCTCTGTTTAATGAGCTCATCCACCTTCTCCTTGGACAGGCTCCAGAGAGACATATTGAGAATATAGTTAAAATCAGGCCCTGATGCAGAGCCGGAGTTTGTGGAACTACTGTCATTTAAATCCTGAAGATCATCCTCCTCTGTAGCCTACGAAAAAAAAAAATGACAAGAATATTAATGCATGTGTCACTCAAAGTAAAACTAACATGAAATAGGCTAAGAGGATAAGATTCTTTTGTAGTGAGAAAAATAAATACAGAGGGTCTCATCCTTTATTGGGATGGGGTTTTTATTTAATCTTGTGAAGAAATTGGAACTGGGATAGACCTATAAAATAAAGCTCTTAATTTAGCATGCTTACAAAAATGTTGTACCTTTTCCTGTGCTTCCTTCCAAGCCTTAACCGGATCGGATTCAAAACCCTTCTGCACCAACATCTGAACGAGTTCTCGTTTTGATTTGTTTTCTAGATAGGAAAACATACAGGTGTTAACGGAAAATATCTGTAAGATTTGTCACACGCATTCAACGAGTACAAGGAACAAAGATGTAAGTGCAATGTGTACAATCCCAAAGCAACCAAACAGAATGTGCTTTGGGATTGCAAATATAGCAAATATAGTTTTGTTTTTTTTTTTATAGTTGCTTTAAGGCCAGTTCACACTACAAAAACGCACTCTGGATGCATTCTGGATACGTTCTTGCTTACAGTTCACACCACATGCAGTTCTGGTGCAGTTTGCTATGTTCCAGTATGGTTCTGTGCAGAAAAAAATGCAGCATGTTCTACTTTTTTTTTTTTTTCTGCACCCTAAAGGGCCAGTTCACACTACATGCGTTTCAGTTGCTTTTTTTATGCGTCCAACAACGCACAAAAAGTAGGTGCCAATGACATAGTTCACATCAGTGTTTGCAGTTCCAGTTGCAGATAACGAAGAGCATGCTGCATTTTTTCTGCACAGAACTGTACTGAAACGCAATAAAACGCATCAAAAACACACTGGAATGCACATGTCCTTATTTAAACTAAAGTAAAAGAGGGGAAAAAAATGAACTGGAATGCATAAAAAACGCAATGTAACATGACAAAAACACAAAAAAAATGCACCAGAACACACCAAAAACGCATCAAAACCATGCATGCAAAAACGCATATAGAATGCATCTGGACTGTGTTTCTATAGTGTGAACTGGCCCTAAATGTCTTTAGCTTACAAAATGAACAGCCTCTGAAACAATCATGTACAGATATACCCAATACGGCATTACCTACTGAAGGCTTTATAGTATCTCAAATATATTTAAAACACATTTTCATAGCATAGCGTAGAGGCGCAGAATTTAACAACAGCCAGAATAGTCGATTACCTATTGTGATTTTTCCTTGGATCTTCTCAAGAATAAACCTAGCTTGATTGTTGAGTCTGGCAGACTCAGCTCCCAGCATTCCAATTAACCAATCTTTGCGCAGACCATAGTAATGTAATCTAAGATCAAAGAATTCCTTCAGAATGTCTTGTACAGTCTCATATTTCTTCAGACAGCCCATGTGGTCAAACAGTACCTGTAGAGATAAGGATAATTGTACTTTAAGATATGAAATGGAAATAGGACTACCGGGTCTGAAAAAGTAACTATTTTGCCAGCACTAGTCTTGTATGCAACATAGAAATAGTTAGAAAGAGATCAATCTAGCAATGAAGTAAACTTGTCATAGGCCTACGCAAATCAGCCTAAGCACATGATATAAAAAATAAATAAATAAAAAGCATAAACATGGTGGTTACCTTCAGTATAAAACACATCTCAAAGCAATAAGTAGATTTAGGGTAAGGCTACGTTCACACTAGCGTTGTGTGCAGGCGGCAGAGAGGCGTTTTTACCGCTTCCCAAACGCATCTGCCAATTCTGCACATTACAGCACATGGTGCTGTTCTAACGTGAGCGTTTGCGTCGCGTTGCGTGGCAAAACGGACGCCTTGGTCAAGTCAGGAGGCGTTGAAGCCTTCTATTGTTTGTCTATGGTGCCGCTCCACAAACGCCCGGCCAGCGTTTGCGGTGCGGTTTGCGACACGTTTGCGGAGCGGTAACACCATTCAAACTGCATTATAGGTGTTTGTGGGGTGTTTTTTAATGCTCGGCAAATGCCTAGCAACCGCTGCTAAACCGCGCATGCGGCGTCTGCAGAGTGTTTAAAAACGCTCCGCAAACGCCGAACCAACGCTTGCGTTTGGCAAGCGTTGGTAAAACAGCCAAGTGTGAACGAGCCCTAAGGTCTTGCACACTGCAGCTTGAAAAAGCTCAGTACAGCTTTTTTTTTTGTGTTTTTTCATTACAGATCTACAAAGCAGCCCATTGTTTACAATGCGCCTGTGCACACAGGCACGTAAACAAGCGCGGTGTATTCTTGAATGTAAAATAAATAAATAAATAGAAAGATTTGTATTGCTGGTCAGTAATTTGTGCAGATGCACGCAAATATGCGCATATGACCATAAAAAAATGATTTTTTTCCTGAGCACATATTTTGCGCATGCACACGAATACATGCAAAAATATTGCCTGAATCTAAGTCCAGAAATGCTGATGCTCAAACTTCAGTACCATGTGCAAGAGGCCATACAGACAGCTAAAGTTGCAAAGGCAGATCTTGATTTTTTCTGTAAATGCTGGACAAGTCTCCTTTCTTCCTGACTCTGTAGTTGTCTGCTAATTATGGGGCAATATCAGACCAATAGGGAGTTTCAGAAGGTTTTGGTCTCTAGTCAACTTTTACTTTAAGCTGAGACTTACATTATGTACAGCTCATCTGACAGGGGATCTAACCCATCCCCACTTTATCCAAAAGCAAAAAAGGTTTTGGCTCTAAATACACTAAATATTTGCAAGATGAGTTTGCACAGTAATGCTTTTCAGTCATACTAAGAAACAAAACAAAAAAAAAAACTAATGGAAATCTTACTGCATTACTGGGTTTGTTACAGATTTCCTCATGAATGCTTACCATAGAATTGCATGTAAGGCTAGCCTGAAGTTTAAACACTTTGTGTAATCCAGCAGCTTCTGCCTGAGCTAGCTTTTCTTCTGTCATTTTCACAACAAATTTCACAGTTGTATCAGTGTGGTACTCCTTATAATCATTAATTAGAGCGGGATTTTTCTCTGTCCCATTAAGCATAGGCTCCAAAACTTGTTCTTTGTACACCTGAGAACAGATAACACAAAATTACAATTTCCAATAACAATATACAAAGATATATCACTACTGTGTGTTGTTGCGGTACCCTGCTTTTGGTTCTTAGGCCCCTTTCACATGGGCATTCTGCATGTCCGTTTATGGATAAAAAAAACAGACAACCATGTATTTCTGTGGACTAGCAGATGTAAACAGATGATCATTTGTTTACATCCATTAATGTCCGCATCCGTTAACCACTTGTCCTCCAAAGGATTTACCCCCCCCCTTCCTGACCAGGCCATTTTTTGTGTTACGGCGCTGCATTACTTTAACTGACAATTGCGCAGTCATGCAATGCTTCACCCAAATGAAATTTAAGTCTATTTTTTTCCCCATGAATAGAGCTTTCTTTCGGTGGTATTTGATCAATATTGATTTGTGCTTTTATTTTTTGCTCTATAAAAAAAAAAAAAAAAAAAAAAAAAAAAAAAAAAAAAGACCAACAATTTTGAGAAAAAAAAACAAAACAATATTTTAGACTTTTTGCTATTAAACATGTCCAGTAAATTAAAAAAATCGAATTAGCTCATAAAAATTAAGTTAAAAAAAAAAAAATGTATTCTGCTACATGTCTTTGCTAAAAAGAAAAAAAAAATCAAAATACATGTAAGTTAATTGGTTTACGTGAAAGTATATATACACTGGGCTTTTTTTTTTTTTAAAATTTTTTTACTAGTAATGGCGGCAATCAATGACTTCTAGCAGGACTGCAGGAGGCATTCTGACACTGGGGGGAAATGACTTGGTGTCACTTACATCCCCAGTGACACAAATATAGCGATCAGTGCTAATAAAAAACTAATGGCACTGGGCATGAAGGGGTTAACATGTGGGGCGATCAAGGGGTTAATCCCATTTTTTCTTCCATTCTAAAAAGAAACGGATGATGAAAAACTGACGTGAACTGATTTGTTTTTGGTTTTTTTCAGAAAGACCGTGACTGAACTGGTGAAAAAAAAAAAAAAAAAACCCGTATAGAAAGGGGCCTTAGTCTTATCTTGACACCAATTTGTAAGTAGAAGTGATTGGATTCCAGTTACCTGTTTCTATGTGACTGTTGACTGTATAATTTCATATTATAACCCCTGTGTCTCACAATTGCTGTAACTGCCTCGTTTAGTTAACTCTATATGTCAAAATTAGTATTCGGCCATTGCCCCATGCTAAGTAGTTTCACATACCTGAGTCCACGTCCTGACTGGGAGCTCGGTGATTTCAATAGTGTTTCGGTCAAGCACAAAGATCTCCCCGCTCACAGCGTACTGGTTCTGGCCTATTTCCTGAAGAGTACCTTTAAAATTCTTGTAATTTGGAAGCTGCAGAAGACACAACATATCAGTGAGAAGTCCAAAAGGCAGAAATGCACACATTTAAGTACAACCTAAAATCAGCCTACATGTCAATCCACCAAAGCATGCGTAATGTCTCATTCTATTACAATCACATTTATAGGGAATCTGTGGTCATAGAAACATGGAAGCTGCATTGCCACCTGATTTTTAAAGGTTCTGAAGCTCTGGGGCCAACATCCTCACCTTAAGCTGTACTACTAGTTACTGAGATGAAACACAGGTATGCATATCCTGACTTCTCTGGCTGCAAGCCTGATCTCGGTGCGGCTCACTACTTATTGAAGAGCACATAAAAGCTTGCTATATGCACCTATAGAAATTAAGTTCCCATGTGTAAATCCCATATTTGTATCCCTGTAGGCTGCCTTTACAATAATCTGTCATATGCAAAACATGTAGATTGCCACTGCTGACCTTGCTGACTTCCTGGTTTCAACATTTTGAGTCATCGGCACAGTAAGGATATTTTTTTTTTATTATTATTATCAAAGGAAAACTGTCCCAAAATAGTGAAAAAAAAAATAATCTTAAAATGTAGCTGCGTGTTTCTTGTTACTACCATAACTTACCACCAAAGAACAACCCAAAATAAATTTTCCAGCTCTTGACGATCGCAGTGAGACCATATGTGTATGCTGTTTGTACCTGTACTACAGCCCAGAAACAATAGTGCGTATTTTGTTTACCTAAAACACACCGACACTGACACACTGACACCAACTAACCACTTGCCTACTGGGCACTTCTATCCCCTTCCTGCCCAGGCATCATTAAAACGAGACCCGGGTCTCTCAGTGACACCCCGATCTTTGTGCTGGGAGCGTGCGGCGTGCTCCCAGCACAAAGACAAGTATGCAAATATGCGGCCCCATGGAAAAAAAGCCCAGTTCAGGGTCCAGGATTGTGTGTCATCCTCCAGATTCTGGGAAGATGTGTTTCTTCTCTCCACTGGCTTGGCGATGTATCAATCTGGGCACTCCTACAGATCATGCTTTTTAACCCAACATTAACGATTTTAGCTGGGCTTGTGACTATTAAATGTCCACATTAATGGTGCAACATAAAAAAAAAAGGCAACAGCAAAGCATCTGAATGTGTGTATATATATATATATATATATATATATATACACATACATATACATATATATATATATATAAATTCCTAAGTAATTTTCTAGCAGAAAATGCAGATTTTCAGATGTACGAGAGAAATGTCAGAAATGGCCCGGTTCTGAAGTGGCTAAACAGTTACAACATGCATTCAAAGTCTATATGTCTTAACCTCTCAGCAAAATCTCTATAAGGAAAGGTACCTTACCAAATAAGCACAAACATACATTTGATTAAATTTACTATACCAAGAAAAACAAGGATATATGATACATTTAGTTTAGCATTTAAGATACAATCATATTTTTGAGTATATGCCCTAAAACAAATTTAGGGATATTATGTTCAAAAGAGTAAAACTGTCCTGTAAACAGATATTGGGAAATAAAAAAAAAATATATAAAAAAATTAGATTAAAGCAGCTGAAATGTAGTTAGAGGTTAATTTAGGCTTCATTTTAGGCGTTTTCAAATCGCAGGCAGAATTGCAATTCGAAAACGAATTAATTTCAATGGCACCTGAAAATGCGGGGCTTTTTTTTTTTTTTCCACAATCGCAACGCATTTTTTGTGCGACAAACACGCTACAATCACGTAAACAAAATAGCGGGACACACAATACCCAGAAACTGTTCCAGAACTTTTTTTGGAGCTTCGCGCATCCTGTCATTTTGTTGATGCGATTGCGGCGCGTTTGTCATAAGGAAAAGCGCATCACGGTAAGGAAAAAAATGCCCACAATTACAGGTGTCATGGAAATGAATGGCATCTGAACATGTGAATGCACGTTTTTACAGCACGTTTTAAAAAATCAAGGGCAGAATCACGGCAATTCCGTATGTGATTTGAAATGCCTATGTGTGAATGGAGCCTAAAAAATACATGTAAAACTAATAGTAAGCGAAATAAAAAAAAAAAAAAAGTAAACAAGATGTCCACACAAGGGTAACCACATAAATCAAAAATGCTGCGCTATGCTTACCATGGGGTAAGGATCAAGGCCATCCAGCATCCTCTTGACATTGTTCACTATTTCCCTGGTGTCATAATTGGGAAGTTTACAGGCCCATCCAGTACCAATGCCTTCGGCACCATTAATCAATACTATAGGAATAATTGGCATGTACCACTCAGGCTCCACTCGCTGGTTATCATCATACAGGAACTTGAGTAAGTTATCATCCATACTTGGAAAGAGCAATCTAGCCAGAGGGCTGCAGGAAAGAGATAATTAAGTTACGCCATGCAGTATGGGCTTTTCAAAGCAACTACAGGCAGTCCTTGGGTTACAAACAAGGTTCTGTAGGTTAGTTCTTAAGTTGAATTTGTATGTAAGTTGGAACAGGTGCATTTTTTTTAAGTGCAACTTCAGCCAAAAAAATATTTTTAAGTTTTGTATAGCATAGGGAAGGGTAACACCCCTGTCATGTTTGTTTTTCCATCTATACCCCTGTTCAGAAGATTTCACCTCACTCTCTGTCCCTGTGACAATTGGATTTTGAACATTTTGGGTTATCGTCATGGAACAAGGATTGGTGATAAAGCTTCAGTTGATACCTTTTTCCTATGATAATTCTTACAAGAGTGAATTTCCCTTCCTAAGGGTAGGTTTCCTCTCACTTCCTGTTGCCTCCCTCTGTTTGTAAGTACGAGTCATAAGTCAGTCATATGTATGTAACTCGGGGATTGCCTGTACAGGAAATTATATTGAAATGGCACTCACCTTAACATTGTAAAGATGTAACGAGGACTGGCAGCATCCTTTCCACCATGTAGCCGTGTACCAAACTGACCAATGGGCTGCAGCAAGTTCACATTGTTACTTCCTACAAAGTTCTGTGCCAAGTTTACAATGGTCATCATCAGAGCTTGCTGAAATGCACAAAAGGCTGTGTTACAGTGTGAAAACCAAGGCTACTGGAAAATTATGAGGCTGAACTGGAACATACCTCTCCATGATGATAGGCAGACATTTCAGCAACTGAACCAGCCAGCTGAGCAACTTTCACTTCCCGCTTATCATTTCTTTTGAAACAGGTGAACAATACTTTTCTTTGTCCTGGTTTAAATCCTGTGTAATGAGATGCAAAAATATCCCTTAAAAACACACTATAATGAATGAAATTAGCATCAATTAGTAGATATGCCCCGATACAGGTTTTTCTTTAAAATCGGTGAGTACCAATACTTTCGGTCAAGTACTCACCGATACTGATACTTTGTGGTGCAATTTGATTCAATATAAAAATGTATGGACACAAATTGCACCACACAGAATAGCATGTGATTTGAACAAGAATGTAATTCCAGTCCAAATCATATGCGGTTTCCCCACTGCTCCTGTGTGAACCCAGGCTGTCATAGTTCACACAGGAGCAGCACAGGGAGGTTTCCCGCAGCGGAGAGTGGGCATGTATACTATGGAGGCAGATGCTCCATATTCTCAATGGTAGGAGAGGAGAGAAAGGCAGGTATTTCTCTCCTCGCAGGGAGGACAGTTTGGGCTAGAAGGCTTTTGATTGGTCAGCACCGTCACATGCACATCTAGCACGTACCGTCATCAATGCAAAGAGGAGTGAAAGCCACTTCACAGGTCTGGGGATTTGAAATCCCTCCTGCTTTCTTTCCACTCTTTGCAGCAATGACAGTACAGGCTAGCCGGCATCTAATTGGTCAGCAACGTTCATATGACGGTGCTGACCGATCAAAAGCCCTCTAGCATGAACGGTTATCCTTGCAAGGGAAGAAAAGAAGGCCTCTCCTACCACTGAGAATATGGAGCATCTGCATCGTATATATCCCCACTCTCCGCTCAGCATGGGATCCCTGCAGGGAGGTTTCCCATACCGCTCCTGTGTGAGCTCAGGCTATGACAAGCCTAGGTTCACAATGGAGCAGTGGGAAAATCGCATGCTAATATTTGCAGTGCAATTTTCGCACCACAAAGTATCGGTTCCTGTTATCGGGAGTGGTCGTGAAAATTCTCGGCATCGGCACAGATACCGGTTTTACAGTAAAATATATACTTGAGTGTGCCTGAAAATACCGGCTACAATGTTAAAACACCACCAGCTAAGGGCAAATTGTCATTTGTACAGGAAAAGCTCCGGCATTACAGGTAGTGTAGGGAAGCTTGCTGCTACCTCTAAACCCCATATATTCCTACTGGCCCATCACTATATTGGGCTGCTTCACTGGCCAATAGGAGTGCACAGGGCAGGCAAGCTTTTGCACTATCTGAATGTGCAGGAGCTTTGCCTGTCAGAACAGCCCAGCATTTGTCCTTCCACAGCATGATTTCGGAAGCTGCTGTTTGTCAGTGTATGCACTTTATAGTATATTTTCTTTTCTTCTGACAAATACTTGTTAAGCAGGTCAAATAAGACCCTACTATCAGACCCTCAAGTCATGCCTCTGTCCCAATCAAGCAACGGCTGAAAATCGCACAGCTCATTAACCTACTAATGTTATACTCACCATCAACAAGAGATGGAATCGACCGTTCATTATCAGAGTTTGAGAACAAGATGAGTTCCTTGTTGATGAAGTCATTGAATGTCAAGTGCTTTGTGGCTGTACCATACAAGTATTGCTGCAAGCATTGGAAAAAAAAAATGCTTAGCAACTGGAAAAATGGGCGACCTTCCCATCAGCACCCTGTTCACTGTTACTTTTTTGCGCCAATATCTTTACCTCAGGTAATCCATGTAATCGGCGTTGTCGCCTGTCTTCCATAAAGTTTGTGAGCCATTCTTTCCTGTCATCAATCTTCTTTTTGCTGAAAGCCTGGGGAGGTTGAGATTGGAGAACCAGATCAGAAAGGTACCATTAACTAAAAGCTAACCTAATAAAACCTCATCAGAAGATGTGGTGTACACTTTAGTAACTGGAAAATGAGCAGTTTTACAGCTTGAAATGTTAGAAATAGTAGAGCACGGAAAGGGACTTTCCTCTCCTGCTGAAGCCCACTTTGTGGTGCAGTGAGCATTTGCTTCTTGCACAAGTTGGCCTACGTACGTAGACATAACATAACTAAAAGCAAAACTTGGCATTGCACCCCATCCTACGAGAACATGTGCCTGTGGAAATGGGAACATCTTTTCCTCTCATGTGATGACTCATTGATGTATATGTACCATTTTCTCTTGTGGCACAGATATCACAACGAGATTTTTCATCATCTGGGATGGTTCAGAGGCACTCCTGCAGGAATGTTTATTATATATCAATTCAAACTATAAAATTTGAGTATCACTATGTCATAGCTTCTTAAATAAATAAATTCATGATTCTTGACATGGAGGTACATAGATGACCAACTGGTTGTCTGGCCAGTAGCTTATTTCACAAAGACTATGGCTGGAAAGACAGTTCATGCTGACAGCTCTGTCATCCCTTGCACCTCATCTATCTCTTATAGTCAATATTTACATCTGAGACATAATTGCTCTGATGAGGGCGATTTCAAATAGGGGCACAAGCTTTGCAGTCACATTTATTAGAATGAGACTACATTAGGAGAAGCTTGAAAAAAAGTGCACCCAACACCTCACAGCAAATCTCATCTCACCCTCCTTATAAAACCAAAAAAGATTCATGCTACTAATACCACTACACATACATTACTAGGTATACCAAACAAAATGCACAAGTGAGGAACATCAACCATAAGTCCTAGCACCTATTTAACGACAACCCGGGAGTGGGCAAATTGCTGGTCGACTCGCCCCATTATTACCTTGCGATGGGGTTCATATATATGGGACAAAGTTGTACAAAGCACCTACAGGAGTGAGCAGCAGGGGGACCAGAAAAAGGGAAAAGGTACCTACCCATGTGGGGCATGTACTTACTGTAAATAAACACTAACAGAACTCTCGTTCTACCCAATGGGGAGGTTTATTACTGTAGACATTGTTAACTATAATATCATAGGTGTGGTTTACCTCTTTTTGTGTACCTGTGGTGCTTACTATGTAGGAAAGAGCACAAGAGAGCTATGGAGACACATATATGATAATATTCAAGCCATGCAGGGGGGCAACCTTTATTCACCTGGTAGACATGTTGGCTATAAGGTCTCCAATGTCAATTGGTTGGTCTCAAAAGGATTCACCAAGGCTCACATGGGGGTGATTGGAATAAGATCTTGCTACAATATGAGCTCAGATGGATCTATCGCCTCTGAGCCACTACTCTCCCAGATCTCAAGGAGGCTGTTTCAAGCCTCTTTTGGATAGCTTTATGTCTGGTAGACCTGGGATATTAACATTGGTTCCATCTTTCCTTACTCTTGCATGTTCCTCCCCTGCTGCCCTTTCATTTTAGAATTCATTTTTTTTGATTTTGCATGGTTGGCCTACACAGTGCCTTGATGCTTTTTATGTGATAGACCAACAAAAAGTGGCACATAATTGTGAAGTGGAAGGAAAATAAATGGTTTTTCAAATAGATATCTGCAAAGTGTGGCGTGTATTTGTATTCTGCCCCTTTTACTCTGATATCCCTGACTAAAATCTAGTGGCCGGGGGAGGAGAACATTAATCAGAGAAGCAGCCAAGAGGCCCATGGTAACTCTGGAGGAAATGCAGAGATTCACAGCTCAGGTGGGAGAATCTGTTCACAGCATAACTATTAGTCGTGCACCCCACAAATCTGGCCTTTAAGAAAGAGTGGCAAGAAGAAAGCCATTGTAGAAAGAAAGCCATAAGTCCTATTTACAGTTTGCAAGAAGTCATGTGGGGGACACAGCAAACATGTGGAAGTAGGTGCTCTTGTCAGATGAGACCAAATTTGAATGTTTTGGCCTAAAAGCAAAACGCTGTGTGTGGCGGAAAACTAACATTGCACATCACCCTGAACACACCACCCCCACCGTGAAACATGGTGGTGGCAGCATCATGTTGTGGGGATGCTCTTCTTCAGTAGGGTTAGGGAAGATGGCTAGAGTTGAAGGGAAGATGGATGGAGCCAAATACAGGGCAATCTTAGAAGAAAACCTGTTAAGCGTATGAAAGACTTGAGACTGGGGCAGAGATTCACCTTCCAGCAGGACAATGACCCTAAACATACATCCAGAGCTACAATGGAATGGTTTAGATCAAAGCATATTCATGTGTTAGAATTGCCCAGTCAAAGTCCAGAGCTAAATCCAATTGAGAATCTGTGGCAAGATTTGAAAATTGCTGTTCAGACGCTCTCCATCCAATCTGACAGAGTTTGAGCTATTTTGCAAAGAAGAATGGGCAAAAATTTCACTCTCTACATTTGCAAAGCTGATAGAGACATCCCCAAAAAGACTTTCAGCTGTGATTGCAGCGAAAGGGGGGGGGGGGGGTTCTACAAAGTATTGACTCGGGGGGCTGAATACAAATGCGCACCACACTTTTCACATATTTGTAAAACATTTTGAAAATTATTTATCATTTTCCTTCCACTTCACAATTATGTGTCACTTTGTGTTGGTCTATCACTTCAAATCCAAATAAAATACATTTACGTTTTCAGTTGTAACATGACAAAATGTGGAAAATTTCAAGGGGTATGAATACTTTTTCAAGGCACTGTATTTGTCTCTATAAACCTCAATGTAGTCTGAAGACATTGACTAGTTCTTTCGTACTGGGTCATGCTTTTGATGTACCTGTGTAAAGTTTATTGTAATTTTCTTCGTTGTTGCTTGTGTATAATTTTTGTTTATTTAGCTATATAATTAAGATCCATCTTTTTGTGGACGTTTTGACAGCAATCGACACACGTAGGCCCACTGCAGTAGTTGCTTTCACTATGGGGGGGGTCCTAGTTTTCGCCAGCAAAGTGACAGCAATCACTCAAGGGAGACCTTACCCCTGCTTCCCTCTCTCCTCATAGTGTTTGGGCTCCATTTGGGGAGTGGGTGGTAGCACACCTTACTTCTGTATTGGCCTATTTTGGTCATATGGGGGACACACCACTTTATTACAAGGTACTTAAAGCAAGACTGGATAAGGCCTTTTTGCCTGCGGTTTTCACCTGGGTAGTCTGACTGAGGGAATAACAGTTAAGCCTGGCAGTCCTCTCAGTGTGAAGGTATGTTTTATCCATGGGACAATCCATTTATGGATTGTTGGAACCTATACTTACACATATAAATGAAATCTGAAGCCCAGTAGTACAAACAGGCTGGCACTGTACTTACCAAAGTAATAGCTGCATCGTCTTCTGGACCAGCATAGCGAAACATAATACGGTGGCGGTCCATGTCTGCAAAATATTCCTTGGCTTCCTTTGCAGTGCTGGTACCCAAACCTGAGTAACCATCAAAAAAAGTTACAGTCACAATTTCCACACTCAAAAAAACTAAAAAAAAAAAAATCCATATTTGCCTTCATTGTTTATAGTACACATCAGGAAGAAAATTAAAAAAACATTAGGCATAGTGCAACTATAGCCAAAATAAAAAATTACATATGATAAAGTGATATAATCTATACCAAGCATTAACACAGCAGTCTTCGTTTTTCTAAGCCCATCTGTAACAGTTTACCTGGTGATCCAATAAGTTATCCCCTTTTAACAAAACAAGCTGTCCAGCAATGGTGGCAAGACAAACCATTTAACATTCATAGGGGTGCTAACAATGGTCAGCTTTTATTCATTTATGTAAAACCTTTGATCCAGTAGGTAAAAAACTACTATTATAAATCAACTATTGAACTAAGCCGTAACTGTAAATCATAATCTTTGGCAAATAACAAATCTATACTGGATGAGGGCGCGTTTCCCACCAGATGGTGTATCTGGCCAATTGATGAATCTAAATTATATAACCTTTATTCAAATATATATATATATATATATATATATATATATATATATATATATATATATATATATATATAATAAAATGTATGCTTCGCTTTAATTAATGCCTATTGGAGTGGAATGTACTGCGCACAACATTATGACTAGATACCGTTGCAATTATTTACCTTATATCCAAATGGTTAATAACACCAGACCAAATCAAATACCATACCATTTTAGATGAAGTGACGGCATAAAAAGAGACAGTGTAGTTTGATCATAAGCCTAGCAGCTTGAATATATCTCTATTAAGGAAATGGAGTTACCCCATGGACAAAACTAATTAGATAGTACTATCTATCTTGCTACAGATATGTAATATGGGTACACTCATCCACAGGCTTAAATGTCAGCCTCTCATGGATAACCACCATACATCACCATATCCAGACAAAATGCCTCACTGTCTTGAAAAATGCAAATGATGCACTGTAAAACGCAGTCGAGACGTCTCCAAAAAAGGGGGGGGGGAGGGGGGGGTAGAGTGAATACCATGTGCATTCAAAAAGTGCTCCCAAAGAAAGACCCAAAGAAAAAAAAAAAAAAAAAAAAACTCTACATGTTTTGAGCTTCAGGAGTATAAAGAATTAAAATGGGTCACAAAGTGGCTGGAAGTTGTGCTTTGCTGCACATAGTGGCAAAATGGCCAGGGATTGACTCCATGGAGTAACACCATTTCCTAATATATATTCAAGTTGATAGGCTTATGATCAAATTACAGTGTCTTTTTATGCAGTCACTTCATCTAAAACGGTATGGTATTTGATTTGGTGTTATTAACCATTGGATGTAAGGTAAATAATTGCAATGGTATCCAGTCATATTGTTGTGTGCAGTACATTCCACTCCAATAGGCATTAATTACAGCTGAGCATACATTTTTTATATATTTGAATAAAGGTTATATATTTTAGATCCATCAATTGGCCAGATGGTGTAGGGAAATGCACCCTCGCCCAGTTTAGATTTTCTTTTTAAAAATAACTATTGCCGTAACTGCTTAATAATTGTCAGAGTTCAGCTTTAAATTGTTATTTCATCCAAATCTACTAATCAAACACTACCCTCTCCAGGGATTCACAATGCTGCTGCGGAAGGGTGGCTACACTGCTCCTCTATAGGAGTGAATATAGCCACCTAAGAAGGTGCGTTATTGGCCAGGTGAAAATAAAGGAATAAAGGCTTGGGAAAAAAAAGAAAACTAATGCAGTCTCCACATACGATTGGTAAGCTACAATATATTACAATTTTGTTTTAGGTTTAGTTACACTTTGAGAGACAAAAAGAAGGAATGCATGCACACACCTTTGTAGTACTTTATCTTCCATAATTTATGGTTTTCCATTTGTTTTCTCCATTCTTCAAACTCAGGAATACTGTAGAATGACAGCTCCTGCTTATTTTTTGTTGCCTTTTAAAACAAAGATTTTGCCCTGTTAAATGCATTCACCCTTAAATCACACACTCAAAATTACCTACATGACTCACTAGATACCTTAACAATTGGTGTAATGAATTCCTCAAGAAAGCTGTGCTTCAGCAGGGATGGCCAATTGTGATGGAAAAAGTTAATGAGTAATCCTTTAATATGGGAACCATCTTGATCCTGTATACAGAGTAACAATTAGTAATCAGTGCCATCAGTGTACTGAAGGAATAGATCAGATCAGCAACTCTGGATTCACACACCCCCACCCCCCAAAAAAAAAATAAAAATAAATTCCGGTTAGCCACATTCCATGTGTATTGCCCATTTATATCAAAGGGATTAAGCGTAAGCGCAAGTCAAGGCACAATAACACGTTATAATGCACATCTTAAGCCTAAAGATTAGTTAAATCCCCCAAAACATTTAATATTTTCTGAAAGCAGAGACCCTGTGGAACAAAGTAATAGTTGTAAATTTTTAGGTCACAGGATATTCGCGCAACTGTGTATCAAACCCATATTTTCAGCAAAAATAAAAAAGGTTTTACATTATGTCATCCATTTTTTTTTAATACAAAATATGAGGTAATGTTGAATAAATGGCTACCAAACATGTCATGCTTTAAAATTGTGCCCGACTGTGAAATGGCAACAAACTTCAGTACCCATATTTGTTGATAGGCGATGCCTTAAAAGCTTTTACAGATCATAAAGTTCCAGGTTAACTATGAATGTTTTGGATCCTAGAATAACTGCTCTCATTCTGGTGTGTGTGGCAATAACCAACATGCATAGCACAGCTGTTTTTATACATAGTTGCACCCAATGTAGGCATTTACATACATATTTCAACTTAATTTACCTATATTGCCTTTACATAGGGGGCTGGGTGGGAGAAGGGGAGGGGTAGTATTTTCTAGATGTGTGGAAGGGATAGGCTTCTGTACTTTCACTAGGTTTAACCATTTCGCTGTCAACCCTGCCTTCTTTAAGCAAAACTTTACCCAAAAGTCCGAAGCACTGGAGATCCACCCTTAATCCTACAATGAATGAGTGGAGTGCTGAATTGACACATTTGCAGTTCCTAGAGCAGTGGTGGGCAATCTTTTTTTTTCAACTGAGCCAAATCTCGCCAAAACCACGATTGAAATTTATTTTGAGAGCCACATTTTTAAAACTGAAAATACATCCCCCATATAGTAATTCATCCCCCATAGTAATTCATCCCCCATATAGTAATTCATCCCCCCTATAGAAATTCATCCCCCCTATAGTAATTCATTCCCCATATTGTGTCAATTCACTTACCTTTGCTCCGCGCGTTCCTCTCGCCGTGTTCCCGCGCCGTTCCGGTCTTCAGGGCGGACTGTGAGAGGAGAGGAGTTTGTCACGCTGCCCCGCCTACATCCTGACAGCCAATGTTTGCCACGCTTCGCAGGCCGGATTAAAAGGTCCGCCGGGCCGTAGTTTGCCCATTGCTGGGCTAGCTGCAGAGTCCTGACTTTTGGGGCAGCCGCCCGAGAGGAGGGAGGGGAGCGGGCGCCCGGCACACAGAAGAGCCGCATTAAAGTGTGTAAAGAGCCGCATGTGGCTCGCGAGCCGCGGCTTGCCGACCACTGTCCTAGAGGAACTGATGGTACAGCACCATGATAGATTTTCTTCTTACATTGCCACCTGGACAGTCATGGGTGTCTTCTTGGGGGGTCACCAAACACCCCACTCGTACCTGCCTTTCTCACCGGCCCAAACGTCTCTTCTTCTCCCCTTCCTCTACTGAACTCTCCTTTCTTCATCTCTCATTTCCCATTCCTTCCATCGCAGCATAAAGTTGGCAGATGGATTCATATTAGGGCATAAAATTTCAAACTGTTTTATCTTGTAACCTGCCTGAGAGCAACTTTAACAAACCAGCAAAAAAATAAATAAATTAAAAAAAAAAAAAAAAGGGGGGGGTTGTGCATTATCGTGGTGAGAACGCGCACTGCTTTCTCAAGGGAATGACAGTTCCACAGTATCCCAGTATTACTCAAAATGATGTTGATAGGTGCATTGTATGATGCCACTGTATCTTTGCCCTGACAATGTGTAAATGTATTGAACCCTTTTCTCTAATTACTTTCAAAAGTCCATAAACCTTTAAAAAAAAAAAAAAAAAAAAAAAAAAATGGAAACATCTAATGCAAATATTGAAGAAAAATCAAGTAAAACAAAGGGCTATAATAGGCATATGTTTGGATAAAATAAACTGTCACCTTAAAATGAATTGGAATGTTAAAAACCAGAAAAACACTGTATCCTCCAAAATAATTCCTGCACCAACAACATTGGGAGGTGTATTTTTACCAAATACCCGAATTAATTCAATCATTCCAGAAGCACAATTATTACCTGATCAGTCATGATCATGATTTTTCCATAACGTAAAGACTTGAGGGATTCTTGATCATCGTAGCTCTTCTTGTATTGCAATCCAACAATTTTAATGATGTTGTTGATTTCTGCATTTTCCATGATCTGTGGGCAGTTAAAATTAAAAATATCAACATAATAACCTGACTAACATAATATAAGTGTGTAAATTGTGGTCTGTATTGGACAAAATATAATTCATTGGTTGGGCAGGAAAGTAAATGAAGAATTGTTGTTTTTGGATCAAAGTATGGATAAACAATGAGAAGGTGGAGTGTAGTAGTTCGGCATACAGATAACATTTTTTCTGAAATGATGACAGGATCAATAATGAGAAGTTGGTTAATTAACCACTGTATGTGGCAGATGAGGCATAATATTTAAAATTTCTATTTTGACAAAAGCATGCAAAAGAGTAAGCAGGCCATAGACAAGTCTAAATCCGAAAGCTCTCTAGAACGAAAAACGAAAAATGGCTCATACATTTGTGCCATCATTTGTTTCATTTTTCCAATAAAAATCCATCAATGGATCAGGCACTTTCGATTGCGGCACTAAAATCGTGCGTCGTAGCTGGCACACTAATAATGCAAAAAATGAACGATTCAAAAATTTTGTTAGGTTTTCACAACTTCTATAGCCTGTTTAAGTCAGAAAATGAAAAGAATGGGGTGACCTTAAAAACAGATTCAGTGGCATAGACAGTTTGAAATTTAGTTAAGTGTCATCATATGCAGGGGACCAAGTGCTCCAAGTCAAATCCGGTCTTTTCTTTTAAGCAGTCCCCTGCTCTGTCCGACAATGCTGCTAGAAAGGAGACAGATTTGTGACTGACCTCTCTGGTCTCTGGCAGCAGGAGCTCCTCCAGAGACCATGCTGCCATTCCTTCAGAATGACAGGTCACAAAGCTGGCAGCCCCATGTCTAACACCTGTTTTACTGCGTCTGTGTGGAAGAAACACATTTGGGCAGAGCTTTGGTCTGTAATGTCATCATGCAGGCTGAGCAGACTTGTGGCTGTGCTTTCTTACACTGTGAATGCCAATCCTCATTCATTCTAAGCATGTTTTTTTTATGAATAAACTCAGGTTCTATTTACTACACTATAAGAGTTGCCCTCTGGTATTTCCTGTTAATTGTGGAGTGGTGTTGAGCCATTGCCATAGGATTGCCTGCTGTGTGTCAGCAAAAGTGCATTTGATCTCAGGTTTGGAGATCAAAGATATCTCATAAGGGGTTTAAATAACACTGGTGGCAACAGCACAAAGCACAGGTGGTATTCATACACAGGATCACTTTTGGTACTAAAATATTTGTTGCGGGATTGGACATAAGGACTGTTTAAATATATGGAGCTTATTATCTGGACATTATTCACATTTTTAGTCTATGCTTTTATATATGAATTATGAATGTGCACAATTTTTTACTGATGTTGGTCACTTATGTTGTTGCTTTGCCATTTAAAAAGTGATAACGCACCAATTTATTGTACCATTTGTGTATGTATACAAGCAGCCCTGACAGACATACAGTGAGCAGCAGCCCAGTGATGTCACTGTTATGAATAATTGATCAGCAATACTTGTTCATTTGTAATAGAAAGTGATCAGAGTTGTATCTGCAGCAGCTTGTACACACTAGCACAGATACCTTACAGAGCCAAAGCGCTGAATATTTTACTATTATGAATGAACAAGAAGCACTGATTGTCCATTCATATTGGTGATAGATCACTTAACTTAGAGGGGGGTGGGGCTCTGTTGGTTGTACCAGCTGTGCAGGAATGCCCATCATTTGGGCTTCAAAAAAGGGTGGCGCTAAAACCAGCATCTCAGAGGTGTTTTTAGGTTACAACTGGGTCACAGATCAGAACGGGACCAAGTGCTTTATGCACTTCGTCCACTGCGGAAATAAATATATGAGAAATAAAAAAAAAAAAAAACACACTATTTCTTTTTTAATCGCTTCCTGACCACCCTATAGCAGAGAACTGCTGCTGCAGGGCTGCGTAAAATCACATATATACGTGATTTTGCATTTCTGGGTCCACAATTGGAGGCTACAGATGTCAGATTACCGGGTCCCAGCCGGAGATTCCCTGCCGGCACCCGGCGATCGCCGAGCATCACTGACAGGGGAGAGACCTGTGTGTAAACACCACAGGACTCTCCCCTGCCAGCAGTAACATGCTGCTGTATATTTTTCTGCACAGCAAAGAAGTACAAAACAGTATGCTTCCCTAGTAAAACACACACAGTAAAACAGCACAAAGTTAACCCTTTGATTGCCCCACGTTAACCCCTTCCTGCCCAGTGTCATTAGTACAGTGTTCATGCTTTTTATTAGCACTGATCACTGTATGAGTGTCATTGGGATGTCAGTGGCAGTTAGTCAGTCCACCCCCCCCCCCCCAGTGTCAGAATGCCCACAGTCCCACTATAAGTCGCTGATCGGTGCCATTACTAGCATAAAAAGAAAAAAGAAAAAAAAAGAAATTCCAGTATATATACAATTTGTAGACGCTATAACTTTCACTTAAACCAATTAATTTACATGTATTGGGATTTATTTTAGCAAAGACATGTAGCAGAATAAATTTTGGCCTAAATTTATTAAAAAATTAGATTTTTTTTTTAATTTTTCTGGATATGTTTTATAGCAAAAAGTAAAAAATTGTTTTTTCAAAATTGTTGGTCTTTTTTTGTTTATTGCACACAAAAAGAAAAACCGCACCGAAAGAAAGCTCTATTTGTGGGGGGGGGGGGGGGGGGGAAAGGGGACGTAAATTTCATTTAAGTACAGTGTTGCATGACCACACAAATGTCAGTTAAAGAAACGCAGCGCCGTATTGCATAAAATGCCTGGTCAGGAAAGGGAGTAAATCCTCCGGAGGGAAAGTGGTTGATGTAAGGTACATGTGAATATACAGTCATTATATAATTAAAACTGTACAATATAGTGCACAGTACAGTTATGGGGCACAAATCTGAGCATTTAAGGCTGGGTACAAAGCAGAAAAAAAAAAAAAAAAAAAAAAAAAAAAGTACAAAAATGATTACAGAACTAGTTTACATATAATAACTTGTGCAGACAGGTCTTAATGTGACAGTGGACATGCAACAGTAAATTACCTGCTTGTGTGATGCTTCTCGTACATTGAGGATTTTTCCTCTCAGAGGGAACACACCATATCGGTCTCGTCCTATGACACCTAAACCTGATACAGCCAAAGATTTGGCTGAGTCTCCTTCTGTCAGAATCAGAGTGCAGTCCAGGGAATGTTTACCACCTGAATCCAAGGAAAGAATAAAAAAAATAAAATAAAAAGGTGCAAAATTACAGCAGTGTATTAATTCATGAAACACATCTTTTGAATGTGATCTACAGATCTTTTACAAAGACCTTTAAGAATTAAAGACATAATAATGTAAGAAACTAATAGTTATGTCAGTTCACAAACAAAATGCGTTATTAGCCATTACCTTAGTTCTTTACAACAAATATTAAACTTGGTTATAAATAACGATCTTAATGGAAAGTAACAAAAGTGTTATAGATTAGTGAATTGAAAACCGTCTATTGGTGCAGTGGTGTCATTATGGTAAAAAGTTCAAAAAATAAAAACAAATAAAATATTTTCACTATTCAATAGCTGCAGATGAAATTATTCATTCACTTCCAAGTTTAAAAACTGATAATATACACGTAAAACAACTGTAATGTGAAATGACTATGTAAATTTTTATACCTTTCAGGCTTAACTCACTAATTTATAATATATAGTTATTAGTCATAATGAACCACTTATAAAAGCTTAAGGGAGCAACTTGATTTTCCACCATGGCAAATTGCTGAAAATCTTTCTAGTGCTGGTCACAGAAGTTGGAAGTACACTAGACCAATATAGTGTGTTTTGTAATGCTGGGTGGGGCTAGACCAATCAGACTAATGGCGAGTACCCAATCATTAGGCCCTTTCCATTCTCCAATCAGGTTTGGGCGGACCCAATCAGATCCATTCTCCTAATGGGGCAGCTAAAACTACTTGTGTCAGTTTACACCTGCCAAAAACAAACAAAAGGAGATTCGTTCCTCTCCATCTGGGCAGATCGGAAGACAGTCTGATGTAAACTGACAGCCAGTCCATTTATATCCAACTGCCCGTAGATAAACAGGCTGTGCCCGTGTCCACTCTGCATAAGCGAAGCGGACATGGACTTGTCATCCATATGCTCAGCGGGGGATAAGCAGACAGATACCCTGCTGAGCAAGTGGATTGCAGGCAGAGTCTGCCCCGCGTGAAAGGGGCCTTCCAAACAACTTCAACAGGGGTTTTAAAAAAGACTGGACCACTTCAATACTGAGCACTTTTACCCCATTCCTGTGCAGGCCGAGTTTTAGCTTTCAGTGCTGCTGCGCTTTGAATGACAAATTGCGCAGTCATGCAACACTGTACACAAATTAAATTTTTTTTTTTTTGGCCAAGACAACTTTCTTTTGGTTGTATTTAATCACCACTGGGTTTATTTTTTGCTAAACAAATGGAAAGAGGTCAAAAACTTTGGGAGAAAAACAAAAAAAAAAACAAACACACCTTTTCCTTCGTTTTTTAAATGAAATTTTGCAAAATAGGTAACTTTTCTTCTTCACTGATGGGCTACACCGATGGGAACTGATGAGGCTGCACTGATATGCTGCCTTAATTATAAGTGTAAATGTCCCTGTCAAAGGAAAGGCTGTTATCGGCTTTCCTTAGCGCTGTGACAGCGCTAAGGAAAGGAAAGGAAATGCAGATTACCGACACTTGTTTACCATGTGATCAGCAATGTCCAATCACAGCTGATCACACACATACACACAAAAAGCCAACATAATTGGCTCTTTACCCTGATCAGTGATGTGCTGTGTCCGAGGGGCACAGTTCACCACCGATCACTGTGCTCCTTGCCAAGAATGGGAGGACATCGTATGACGTCTTCTCAGAAAGAGAGAAGTCCCACCCGCCCGTCATTCTACAATAGGCCGGGCGGGAACCAGTTAAAAAAAAAAAAGTACAAGTGTCAGTTTTCAACTACTGTCTGTATCCCTAATTGGGGATGTTCCTTCATATTTAATTTTTCTGTTTTGTCATTAGAACAGGGCATGCAAGTAAATCTCCCAAATGAAGAAAAAAAAAAAAAAAGTTTTTAACCTTAATCTAAAAAAAAACTTAAAAAAAAAAAAAAAAAAAAAGTCTGGTTGTAGGCCACTGTAAGATTAAAACAGGATATTATTTACTAATATTGTTTTATTAGAGGAATATTAATGCAAGGCCTTCTTCAAGCTCAGCTAAGTTTATGTCCTTTAAAACGGACTTGAAAGCTGCTCACGTGCCACCACCTTTTTGTTACAATAATGTGCACTGCAAAAAATTCACACATTTACTAGTCTTTAAATTGTACATTTTAGACATCCACAATTTCTTCTCATTATATTTAAAGAATAACAGAAAATGGGATTCCAAATAATTTATGAGTTGTGCATTCTCATCTGCTACCCGATTACAATAATTAACAAGAATAAAATATTTGTTCTATGGTACAGTTAGGCATTTTATTAACACTTGTAGTGAAGGTTATTAATGGATAAGGATTAATCTACCAGCATCATTGGCGTCATCCAGTTTGGGAATGCCTTTAATTTTGCTGTGTTTCACAGACGAACACTTCTTGTTGAGCTGGGTCTGAGCCTTGAATTTCACCCAGTTTAGAATACTTTCCACAATTCCACAGTTGGAAGCCTAGTCACATAAGTCAAAGAAACATAATTCACAACACAGAAGTCTTGGCTTCCGGTATATTTAGAAACAAAAAAGACAAGTTACAGTACATGTACAAAGTATGTTTTCTGTAATTTATTTATAATTTTATGCAAGACATTCTAAACAAAAAAAGCAAACAACCATCATTGTACAAATACAAATGGTGACAGTATAAGAGAGCATGCCAATCAAAAGCAAAGTGTGCTGCATACAATAAGACCATAAATATCCAATTTGTAAGACAGGATATAGTATAAACAGAGATAATGGAACAGACAAAACCAATTACAAATAATTAGAATAGTATACATCTTGGAACAAACCAGAGTGCGAGGGGAGTAGGGCAGGACAACAAAAAACAGGCTGATGTGCAGCAGGTCACTAGGATATTGTAAGGGCAACAGGTATAGGTATTGCCAGCAGCAGGTACAGAGATAGAGCGATATCAATGAAAAGGAGGAGAGCTGGAGGAGAGGCCCACCTTGGTAACATACGAAAAAAGGGGAAGGAGGAGTGGGGTGGAGACAAAAGAAGGTCCATAAAAAGGGAAACAGGAAGGCGTGGGGTTGGGGGAGAGAGAAACAGAAGAAAAGAAAGAGCCAGAAGAGCAAGAAAAAAAAAAAAAAAAAAAAGGGGGGGTGTTGGAAAGGGCAGGTTAGGATAAATATATCCATCTTCTCCCGGGCAGAACAGACAGTATGTTAGAGAGACCAGCCTCATTAAGAGGTAGTAAGTTTGTTGTGATAGGCATCCATGTAGGAAAAAAAAAAATATTGCCAGGGGCGCCAAGTTTCCTTAAAGGTCTCCTCTTGGTTATGTAGAGTGGCAATAAGGTCCTCCATATCCCTAAGTTTGTCAACCTTGGAAAACCACATGGCTAGTGTAGGACGACAAAGCATGCTTTAACATTGTAGCACGGGATTTATTTTTCCCTTTTCAGTACATTTATCCAAAAAGTGCAAAATAATGGTCTGTGATGCTTTTTAGTAGTCAATGAACTTTAAACTTGCTCAGAAAAATAAAAGTTTGAATCTATTTAGTTGTTTTAACACACTATAAAAAATAAAGGTCCTGAGTTTTTCAATAATTTTCTTATGAATTATGAAATATTTAAACATACTAACCGCTTTTGCAAATTTTTCAGATAGCGGGCACTTGGACCCAAAACTCTTTGCTTGGAGGGTCATATTTTCTTTTGTCTGAGAGTCAAATGTGGCATTCTCAATCAAACAATTGATAAAAACCCATACATGATTTTTCACCTGTAAAAATAATAAAAAGATAATGTTAGTTCTCATAGGTCTACAAACTACCACAAACGCTCCTTAAGGGAACCCAGAAAAGGACCTTTGCAGATGCATTGTTCTGCTTTGGGCAGAAACTGTCCCAGACACTAAATCTTCTATATCTATCCTGTTAAATTGCTGCAATGCCCCATTTGTCTATGTTCTCTACCCCCACTTTACAGTTCTATACACAGAAAAGAAATTGAAATGAATTAACATGCATATACCATCAATATGTCAATATTCTTAGTTAACCAACCACATGCTGCAAGATGAACACATTTGCTATGCCCAAACCAAACATCAGAGGGACTATTTGTCACTGTTAGGAAAGCTCAGGCATATCATTTTTTAGTTTGCCAATGTGCTGTTCAATGCACATTTTCACCTATATTCATAAAGTTATGGAAAGTTCGAGCAAATCTGACGCAAATGTAAAAATGAAATGTAAGTAGCAAAAAGCAATGCTACCGACTCCATTTTACCATGTAAATAAAATCATGTGGGTAATGACTATTTTTGATAACAGGTCATTGAATAGATAGAAAAGTTATTTTACAAACTGAACAAAGGAGCGCTTTCCTCTTCAGCAGTTATTTCCATTACACAACTACTATTATTTAATAAATATTTAAGAATATCTAATTTTAACTTCCTATATATGATCATTTCATGCACTCCTTAATGGCAAGCTTCGCTTCTTATAAACCCCCTAAAAGATGTCTAGCAGACTCTGTTTTGTTGTATTAAAGAGCAAATTAATTTTAGCTTTAGAAGATTAAAGATGAACTCCAGTCAAAAATGTTAATTTAGATACATTCCTCAATAGCCATCAATGGATATGAATCCATTTATGGCTTACATAGTTACTGCTAGGGATGCATTCGAAATTTTGGCCAAGTAGTCTGCCAAAGGGAGCTCCCTGATACACGCCCAGCAACACTCTTGCATTAGCATGAACCTGGCCCACTATCATTGCATCACCAAAAAGAAGTAAACCCCCAACCGGAAGTGATGTCACCCGCCATCTGGCCCAACACAAAGACTCCATGGCTGGCCACATTGCACAAGCCCTGCATGGAAATGAGTGCCTACAACAGTACCGACCCCCGGAGCTTCCCCCCCTTATCTATGGAATAGCTGGGGCAGCCTAACAACAGGTAATCCAGCCACTATACATTAAGCAGCATCCCTGGGTCCCAATGTTTAAAAACCAGAAACAGAAGAACCCTGTCTCCCCTTTATCAAACAGCTGCTGCCGAGCCATACCGGCTCCATAGCCCTAGTTTCCTAGCAGGGTCTCCCCTGGAGGAAACTCCAGAACTGAACAACCGGCTTGCTTTTAAAAATGGAGGCGGCATTTCCTGCGAACGGGGGAGAAGCATAGGTCTCTCAGGGATGCTATGCTGATAGACGATAGGGGGAAAAGAACCCGTTCGGGGCAAATGTTGCTGAACCTAGCACTCCTAAACACACCAACAAATGGGAAGAACTAAATTCTGCTTTTGACTAAAAAAAAAAAAAAAAGCTGGAATAAAGTACAGAAAACTTTGGGATGGATCTTTGTCAAATGGTAATCTTTTACAGGTGCACATAGGCAACATCAAAATTCTTAAAAAGTACCTAGTAAACTGCCCAACTGCCCAGAGGGGATGTAATCAAGGGTAGATAAAAAGGTGGTGAACAAGCCCTAAATTACATTTATCTTAAGTATTTCTGTATGTTCTTCATGTTCACAGTTGTGCAACTTCCCCTCTCCTTCGGCTTCCTGCACCATGTATCATTTTCAAGCTAGTTTGAATTCTGATTGTTGGCAGATTAGAACTTCCTGTTTTTTTTTTTCTCTTTTTCACAGGCTTTCTGTATGCAAGACAGCAACACAATCCTGCAGGTTGGTGTTTTTGCATGAGAAGTAGGTTACGATCCAGGATCACCAAATTATTAATAAATGGGTAGGGGGGGTCAGGTATAAAACTTGATGGGTGGAAATTTGTGTACTAAAAGCTATGCCTGGATGGAAAACAAAATGAAACTTAATAATAGATAAGCAATCTTTATGCATTTCATGGTTTAGTTTCTTGATTCGATTGTAATTAAAAGTGTGGTCTAATGATTATGCTTTGTTTCTTCTTTGTTTCTTGACTGTTTGAGCTTAAACCTATTTTCGTTGGTTCCTATGAAGCTTTTTTCTTGAGAAGCTTTTCATGAGGCCATTTGATTCACAGTGCTAGTGATTAGGAATTTCTCCTTGATCATCATAGATTGTGGATTAGAAAACGCTAGGGGGGATTCCATCCTCTAAAAATTGTACATTTAATCTAGTGTACAATTTAACAAGAGTCAGATATAAAAACTTGATGGTTCTGTGGAAATTTGAGAACATTTTCACTGGTCCAAGCAGAGACAAAAACTCTGTTCAGAAACAGATGAGATTTTAACCTGGCAACAACCAATGGATGCTATAAAATCAGCTTTGGTAGACTGAGCGTTCAGAGGGATTATACTGTACCTGAAATGGCTTCACAGAAACTCCAGCTTTGTTCTTTTTCTTCACAACCTCAATAAGTTTAGAGACTATTTGATCCACTACATAATCTACATGTCTACCACCCTGAAACAGTAAAAGTTAAGCTATATTATTTTGCATTCAAAATTTTTTGTAGATTTTATACATAAATCAAGCTCTAAACATTCACTGAACAATGCATGCACACACCAATACATGGTTTAAATTTGAAGAAAACAAAAGGTTGGACCCTGTGGTCATTTAAAGCAAATGTACATTTTTATTAATACTGATGAGTGACTTTTTACTGTAAAATGCTCAAAAACCCACAGATTATTACAGTGGAGAGAGTATGTAAATGTTTTGTGAAATAAAGCATAATCTCAAAAAACTTCCATGGCTATGATTTTGACCCCCTACTAATTAACAGACAATGTATGAATAGACCCAGACAATTCCTGAGCACAAGGCATATTATTTTATATAGCACCTTTCAAATGGTACCTTCTCAAAGAGCTTTACAAAAAAAAAAAACTGGCTTGCCTAAAGAAGAAAGCTTTCATTTGATTTGAAAGCATTTAAAATTTTAACTGACTTTAGAGTTCATTGAGTTTAAACTGAATCTCTTGATGTTCTTTGTAAGAACTCCAGAGTTTTGGGGAATAACAGGGTTAGGCCCAGTCCCTCAGATTAGATAACCTGGAAGTCTTTATTTCACTTTACCAACACTAACGGGGCAGTCAGAAATAAAGGCCCCATGGTACAACAGATTTACTTTATAACTTAAGAAATGAGATGGAGAATTGTACATTGCCAGAAAAAAAAAAAAAAAAAAAACACACACAAATCCACACTGCTTGCAATTTTAAGACAGAATTTATTACAATAGCTAAATAAAAGGTTAGACTAAACACCCAAATTTGAGGATTTTCATTTTACTCCAAGCTTACCAGTAGGCTCACCTAGCAACATCAGTTGGTCCTCTTGCAGAATCCTAGGAAAGTTGAGAACCCTAAATCCTGTGAGAGCATGCTCTTGCACAGTGCAGTAGCGTCCTCTCGCAAGAATTGGGATCTAGGGTGTTCAGATTTTTGTGAGGACCAGTGAGGTCAGTGAGAAAAAAAAAAAAAAAAAAAAAGTGTCCAGAACCAAGGAGCATTTCTTTTTCCTTTTTATAATGCAGTGTTTTGAACAGGGGGTGGGGCAGCCACATATGAAGACTTTGCATCTTATTGCAAGGACCGCTTTAAAGTTATAAAAGGCTAGAATGGATTTAAGTGCTGGCCAGAACAACTGAAGGCCGTCCTTGCACGGCAAAGCACAACCAAAAACACTCTCTGGCTTTGGTGGAAACTGCACCAGCAGACAGTAATTCATCTTCATTTGAAATATTGACTGTAAAGACAAAATTGGGGTGAATGTACACAAGAATGTACCTACCTTTGTGGTAGCTATACTATTTACAAAACTGATTTGTTGGAAGCCTTTCTCACTCAGTGTGAGACAAACATCCCATCGTTCATTTGCAACCTCATGGATTACTTTCAGTGCAACACCAGTTTCATCTAGTTTCTCCTTTACGTATAGATCTACGTAACTGCGGAATCCATTCACCTAGAAAACACCAGAAAGGTTTATGGGTATTGGTGTAAATTTAATATAAAACAACTTCTGATAACTTAAATACACTTACTGGAAGTTTTTTTCCATTGAGCATGACTTTCACACCTTTGCAAGAACCTGCTATATCATAAGCTCTCCTTGTTAACAGGGCCATAGTATCCTTGTCTAAACTCTCCATTTTAAATTTAGCCAAATCAGGTTGGAATGTAATGCATGTGTAGTCATCGCCATCAAAATATTTGATCTTCGGGTCTGAAGTTTTTAGCATATTATTCATCCAGGTCTGTTCAGAAGACATAAATATGGGTATTAAATTATGGGCATGTGTGTAAAATGCTTCCCTACATACAGTAAATGACATTCAAATATGAAAGTTAATAGAAACTAAAAAAAAAAAAAAAATACAAAAAGGATTACAAAAACATTTTACTGACCCAAGGCAGAAACTAGTTGCCCTCTTTCAGCCAGAGAGCGAAATATAGACATATCTACACATCTACAGACGTATCTACCACATTCTGGTGGCCCATAATCCTATGTCAAGGGGAGCAGCGCAGAGAAAAAAATAACTGGGCAGGTGAAGTGACCAGCATTAAACATGTAGATTCACCACCACAAGAGATGCAGTAATCATCTTTCTATTTAGAAGAAAGAAAACACAGGGGCTATCACAGTGATCAGGTGACTGGGAACTGGGAGTCCAGGGTCCCGATCATTGGCGAAGAGCCTGGTCTCTGTTCTGGGAGTGCGCTCTCAGCACAAAACACAACACCACATATATGATGCACCCAGGTTTAAAGTCCACCTCCTGGATGCCGCATATGTGTGTTACTGTATCCCTAATGGGGTTAAAAATGATCAGCTTTTATTTTAAAAAAAAAAAACTCCTTCTTAAAATAAAGCACGTCTATTATAAAACACAAAAACACCATTGGTTTAGCCATTTTTTGGAGTTCCATAGTCATTCACATTATCGCATATACATGTTTCCCCCCCATTTCAAACTAAAATTCTTTATTTGCTTCAACTCAACCATACCTGTTTAAAGCTGTGTTTGTATTCCTTGCAGGCAGTTTCCACTGTAAATTTTGTACTGAATATATTGCAAAGTTTAGCACCGTAGCCATTACGACCACCTGAAAATAAAAATAAGCTTATGGAATTTGCTGGATGTCATTTTGCATTCTTTTCAAGGGGAAAGTCTAAATGGATTTCAGAATCATGATTAATTTATACAATGCTCAGCATAAATGAGTACACCCTAACAGATTTGTCAGAAAACCTTTACTTTCCTTTTAGAATCAACATTTTCTATGAGACACTATACTACAAAATACTCCCACAAATACAGGCCCATTGATTGCAAACAAGATTCGTTCATTTGCACACACAAAAAAAGGCTTTGCTAACAAATTCATGCAAGACCATGTTGCTAAAAAGAATATACTCCAATGAAAGTCTTAGAGTTTTGTTGTCTAAAATTTAGCTTTGCTTCTAAGAATTCAACTGCGGGTGAGTCTAATTATTCATTAGGCAGGTGCCCAGCAGACAGTTGATTATAAAAGGGTGCTACTTAAGAAAACCCCTGCCATTTCATACTGTCAGGAATGGCACCACATAAGAGAAATGTCACAAGTCCTGAGATAGAAAATCATTTCTTTATACAAGAAACGTGAAGGCTACAAGAAGATTAGCAAAGCTTTCCTTATCAGTCATAATACTGTAGCAAGAGTGATACAAATATTAAGCAGAAATAAAACTACAACCATCTCACAGAGACATCCAAGCTGTCCACCTCGACAGGGGCATCTTCTGATGAGAAGGGTTGAAGATAAATAGCCAAGCAAGTTCACCGCAGTTAGCTAAAGTAGAAAGCCAAACTGGGGTGATTGCTTCCCATGACACAATATGGCATACACTGCAGAGGAATGGCATGCATGGGTGTCATCCACAAAGGAAGCCTCCCCTAAAGCCCATGCACAAAAAAGCCTGCCTAGAATTTGTCAGGGCCCATGCTGAAAAAGAGCACGACTATTGGGACACTGTACTCTGAAGTAATGAGACCAAGATAAATGATTTTGGAACTGATGACTTTAAAACTGAATGGCGTCACAAAAGGTGAGGAGTACAAAGAAAAATGCATGGTGCCTACAGTGAAACATGGTGGTGACAGTGTCCTTCTGTGGGGCTGCATGACTGCTGCTGGTGTCAGGGAGCTGCATTATATTGATGGGATCATGAATTCACAGATGTACTGCTCTATATTGAAAGAGAAGATGCTACCATCACTCCGTGCCCTTGGTCGTCGTGCACTTTTCCAACATGACAATGATCCAAAACACATCCAAGGCAGGGTGAAAGTAATTAAGTGACCAAGTATGTCTCCTGATCTGAACCCAATCAAACACCTATGGGGAATTGGGAAGAGAAAAGTTGAACATCACTCTCCATCCAGCATCCAGGATCTAAAAGAGGTCGTCCTTAGAGAATGGAAAAAGATGTTGCAATAAGTCGCCAACTTGTTCATTCCATGCCTAGAAGAATTGGTGCTGTCCTTACAAATCATGGGAAGTCATACAAATACTAGATGGAGTTGTTTTCGTTGTGGGGTGTAATCATTTTTGCATCAATTAATTTGAGTAATACTAAAGCTTTTGTCATCTAAGTTCTATTATTAACCTTACTTTCATGTACGGAGCTGAACAAAAATGTTCTATAAAACTCAGTTTTGTCAAAAATTTTGGAAAATGTTCTTGTGTTCTTTGAGATATTGATTAAAATCTTACTTTTTAAAAAAAAGGGTGTACTCATTTATGCTGAGCATTGTAAATGTATCAATGCAGTATAAAAATTTTAAATTCCTATAAAAATAAAAACTAGCTTTGTTCAATACTACAAACTTTGGTTTGTGTAAAAGAAATAAAGCATGTTTAAAACAATCTAATTTTTGAGCAATGTTCTCTAGCAATTTAAACCCACAAAATCGACTTTAGCTGCCTTCATAAGAACAGAAGCAGCAATTTACAGGTATAGATTTTACAGTACAACTGCAGAGTATGCAAGTGCACATCACCTGCCCCCTTTATGTTAGCCATTAGTGAAGTTTACCCATCAGGTTAGCATGATCTATTTTGATCAGGACATACTACACTTATCACAAGGTAATTGCTAAATATATAAAAAAAAATTTGGTTTTGAACTGTTTGAACAGACTGGATCGACAGATGCTGCAGAATTATAGAAGTATCAACTGAAGAGCCAAAGTTTTCCACCAACAATAGAATTCAGAATCTCACAATTCCTACACTTTAGAACACAGTCAGCCTCCTTTAAAAGCTGAAGAAATTGTGTAACATACATAACTTATACACACACACACATATCCACACACGCACAGATGTTACATACATATATTACAGGAGTACACCCCTCACATTTTTGTAAATATTTTATTCTATCTTTTCATGTGACAACACTAAAGAAATTACGCTTTGCTACAATGTAAAGTAGGAGTGTACAGCTTGTATAACAGTGTAAATATGCTGTCCCCTCAAAATAACACAGCCATTAATGTCTAAACTGCTGGCAACAAGAGTGTACACCCCTAAGTGACAAATGTCCAAATTGAGCCCAATTAGCCATTTTCCCTCCCCGGTGTCATGTGACTCTTTACTGTTACAGGGTCCCAGGTGTGAATGGGGAGCAGGTGTGTTAAATTTGGTGTTATCGCCCTCACTGGAAGTTCAACATGGCACCTCATGGCAAAGAACTCCTCTGAGGATCTGAAAAAAAAATTGTTGCTCTACATAAAGATGGCCTAGGCTATAAGAAGATTGCCAAGACCCTGAAACGGAGCTGCAGCACACTGGCCAAGATCATACAGTGGTTTAACAGGACGGTTTCCACTCAGAGCAGGCCTCGCCATGGTCAACCAAAGAAGTTGAGTGCATGTGCTCAGCGTCATATCCAGAGATTGTTTTTGGGAAATAGACGTAAGAGTGCTGCCAGCATTGCAGCAGAGGTTGAAGGGGTGGGGGGGGGTCAGCCTGTTAATATTTTGTGTGGCCACCTTTTCCAGCACTGCCTTAACCCTCTTGGGCATTAGGTTCACCAGAGCTTCACAGGTTGCCACTGGAGTCCTCTTCCACTCCTCCATGATAACATCATGGAGCTGGTGAATGTTACAGACCTTGCGCTTCCCTACCTTCAGCTTGAGGATTCCCCACAGATGCTCAATAGGGTTTAGGTCTGGAGACATGCTTGGCCAGTCCATCACCTTTACCCTCCGCTTATTTAGCAAGGCAGTGGTCATCTTGGAGGTGTGTTTTGGGTCGTTATGTTGGAATACTGCCCTGCGGCCCAATGTCCGAAGGGAGGGGATCATGCTCTGCTTCAATATGTCACAGTACATTTTGGCATTCATGGTTCCCTCAATGAACTGTAGCTCCCCAGTGCCAGCAGCAGTCATACAGCCCCAGACCATGACACCCCCACCACCATGCTTCACTGTAGGCAAGACACACTTGTCTTTGTACTCCTCACCTGGTTGCCGCCACACACGCTTGACACCATCTGAACCAAATAAGTTTATCTTGGTCTCATCAGACCACAGGACATGGTTCCAGTAATCCATGTCCTTAGTCTGCTTGTCTTCAGCAAACTGGTTGCGGGCTTATTTGTCCATCTTTAGAAGAGGATTCCTTCTGGGATGACAGCCATGCAGACTAATTTGAAGCAGTGTGCGGCGTATGGTCTGAGCACTGACAGGCTGACCCCCCCACCCCTTCAACCTCTGCAGCAATGCTGGCAGTACTCATACGTCTATTTCCCAAAGACAACCTCTGGATAGGATGTCGAGCACGTGAACTCAACTTCTTTGGTCGACCATGGCGAGGCCTGTTCTGAGTGGACCTGTCCTGTTAAACCGCTATATGGTCTTGGCCACTGTGCTGCAGCTGTTTCAGGGTCTTGGCAATTTTCTTATAGCCTAGGCCAGTGGTGGGCAAGCTTTTTTTTCAACTGAGCCAAATCTCGCCAAAACCACGATTGAAATTTATTTTGAGAGCCACATTTTTAAAACTGAAAATACATCTCCCATATAGTAATTCATCCCCCCTATAGTAATTCATCCCCCCTATAGTAATTCATCCCCCCTATAGTAATTCATCCCCCCTATAGTAATTCATCCCCCATATTAATTCATCCCCCATATAGTAATTCATCCCCCATATAGTAATTCATCCCCCCTATAGTAATTCATTCCCCATATAGTAATTCATTCCCCCTATAGTAATTCATCCCCCCTATAGTAATTCATCCCCCCTATAGTAATTCATTCCCCATATAGTAATTCATTCCCCATATAGTAATTCATTCCCCATATAGTAATTCATCCCCATGTGTCAATTCACTTACCTTTGCTCCACGCGTTCCTCTCGCCGTGTTCCCGCGCCGTTCTGGTCTTCAGGGCGGACTGTGAGAGGAGAGGAGTTCGTCACGCTGCCCCGCCTACATCCTGGCTGCCCCGCCGACATCCTGACAGCTGCAGAGTCCTGACTTTTGGGGCGGCCCCCGCCCGAGAGGAGGGAAGGGAGGGAGCGGCCGCCCGAGAGGAGGGAGGGGAGGGAGCGGCCGCCCGAGAGGAGGGAGGGGAGCGGGCGCCCGGCACACAGAAGAGCCGCATTTAAGTTTGTAAAGAGCCACATGTGGCTCGCGAGCCGTGGCTTGCCGACCACTGGCCTAGGCCATCTTTATGTAGAGCAACATAAAAGATACTCAGAGTTCTTTGCCATGAGTTTCCATGTTGAACTTCCAGTGACCAGTATGAGAGAGTAAGAGCGATAACACCAAATTTAACACACCTGCTCTCCATTTAAACCTAAGACTTTGTAATACTAATGAGTCACATGACAGCGGGGAGGGAAAATGGCTAATTGGGCCCAGTTTGGACATTTTCACTTTGGGGTGTACGCGCTTTTGTTGCTAGCGGTTTAGACATTAATGGCTGTGCGTTGAGTTATTTTGAGGGGACAGCAAATTTACACGGTTATACAAGCTGTACACTCACTACTTTACATTGTAGCAAAGTGTCATTTCTTCAGTGTTGTCACATAAAAAGATAGAATAAAATATTTACAAAAAATGTGAGGGGTGTACTCACTTCTGTGAGACACGGTACAGACAGACAGGCAGGCAGACAGACACACACACACACACCTCAAAAAAATTAAAAGGAACACTTTTTAATCAGAGTATAGCATCAAGTCAATCAAAAATGTTGATCTGGTCAGCTAAGTAGCAGAGAGGGTTGTTAATCAGTTTATCTGCTTCTTTGTGCAAGGAGGAACAGGATGAGCACTGCCAGAGCCCTACAAAACGACCTCCAGCAGGCCACTGGTGTGAATGTCTCTGACCAATCAGAAACAGACTTCATGAGGGTGGCCTGAGGGCCAGATGTCCTCTAGTGGGCCCTGTGCTCATTGCCTGGCACCAGAGAGCTCGATTGCCATTGAACACCAGAATTGGTAGGTCCACCACTGGCACCCTATGCTTTTCAGAGATGAGAGCAGGTTCACCCTGAGCACGTGACAGACATGGAAGAGTCTGGAGAAGCCGTGGAGAATGTTATGCTGCCTGTAATATCGTTCAACATGACCGTTTTGGTGGTGGGTCAGTGATGGTCTGGGGAGGCATATCCATGGAGGGACACACAGACCTCTACAGGCTGGACAATGGCACCCTGACTGCCATTAGGTTTCAGGATGAAATCCTTCAACCCATTGTCTGCCCCTACACTGGTGCAGTAGGTCCTGGGTTCCTCCTGGTGCAGGACAATGTCCAGCCTCATGTGGCGAGAGTATGCAGGCAGTTCCTGGAGGATGAAGGAATTGATACCAATGAATGACCCCCACGCTCGCCTGACCTAAATCCAATAGCACAGCTTTGGGATATCATGTTTCGGTCCATCCGACGCCGCCAGCTTGTACCTCAGACTGTCCAGGAGCTCACGGATGCCCTGGTCCAGATATGGGGCTATATTGCTGCACCATTTTTTCACTTTGATTTTTGGGGTGTTTTTTAATTCAGTCCTCTGTAGGTTGATGATTTTCATTTCCATCAAACAATGGGGCATCCTTACATTCCTAACACATTAACCAGTCCATATCAGTATACTGTAGATATCCAGCATGATATTTTTCCCCATTGAGATCTGATGTGTTTTCAAAGTGTTCCTTTAATTTTTTTTGAGCAGTGTGTGTGATAGATACAAACATGACTTGCCTGTAACTTTTTTCTCTTCGTCGTCATAGTTACTCGAGGTCAATAGCTGGCCAAAGATCAGAGCTGGGACATAGACCTTTTCCACCTTGTGTTCTACTACTGGGATACCTTTACCATTGTTCCAAATGCTGATGATGTTGGAGTCACTAAGATAAGAAGCAGACGTTAGATTACTATCTAATATAAAAACCAGGACACTGTATTAAAGCCATCGAGATCTGTAGAATTAAGAAAAGCAGAAAGTTTACCCTCTCTTTGCAAATGTAGAATCTGCAAGAATAAAAACTCAATGCTAAGCATCCCTAAAACACTTGTGTCTGTGCCCAGGCCATCAACAATATCTGGCTGGCTGATGCTATAGTTCACAAGAAAAAAAAAAAATCAGATTCTGCACCATAGGGTTACTTGCTGAACTTAACTGGTTCAGATCTTCACAGCTAAAGAAATGTACTGACTTCAATAGTTCAATAGTTGTATGAGCAATGCCTATGTATATATTATGTATGCACTATTATCCTATGTTTACTATGACTTTGCTGCTACCCAGTGGTCATAGTTTTAAATTACACAGTTTTTTTTGTAATTCCTCCCTTTTGTATTAGTGTTCTCTTTCATCATTTGGAAATACCTGTATTTGTTCCTACAACAGGCACATTCATTTGCGAATACCTGTATTTGTTCCTACAACAGGCACATTGAGACTAGGAAGAAAATATTTTGACCACTTCAAAAGCCAACATCTACCAGATCATATTATTTGTCTCAACCTTTCTGCATGCAGTGGAGATATTTGTGGATGCCAAGTTGCACGGTATCAAAATTTTCAGCTAGAGATTCCCTTTCATGTAGAAGTGATTTCAGTGCCTATAGAGCCACGAGATTATTTCTCTAGGTGTTGGAAGGGGACCACTCTGACCGGCAGCATTAAAGAGAGAGAGGAACGGATGATGGCCCTCCCTCTCTGAAATCACAAACTGTAAGTGGCACGAATTTCGGCAATTCCAGTTTCGGGTCTTTTGCTTACTGACTTTTACAAGCATCTGGTCAAAACTGATCTTGGTGTAGCAGGTGCTGCAATTTTTTATGTCACACGGTATTTACGCAGCAGTTTCTCAAATGCTATTTTTCACTTTTGTTCATTTGAATGCAAAAAACAAAAAAAAAAAAAAAAAAAAAAAGACAAAAAAAAAAAAAACCACAATAAAGTAATCCAATTCTCAGGTAAAGCTGATGTTAAGCCGAGTAAATAGATACCAAACATGTCATGGTTTAAAAATGTGCATGCACGTGCAATGGTAAAACTATATAAATTGTACTATCCATAACCCATGCGTTTGTCTTTGTGCACAAGCACAGGGGGACAGGGATGCTTTAAAAAAAAAAAAAAAAAGTCTTTATTTTTACACTGTTGCTTTAATTTTTTTTTTTTTTTTTTATTGCTGTCACAAGGAATGTAAACATCCCTTGTGACAGCAATAGATAGTGACAGGTACTCAGATCAGTGTGATCAAATGCTTTCCATTTTTAAAATTGGCACTTCCTGGTCATCACTTCCCGTTTCCTATATCATAGAGGTGGACAGAGTGGTTCCAGTCTTTGTCTGCCTCTCTAGAACCTTCAGGACCCCCATTGCAAGAAATCATGAAGGGCCCCTGGGGCCCTTTCCATCTGTCCCAGGACCCTTCCCACCAATTTTCTGGTTTCAGCACTTTCACACTTTGAATGACAATTGCGTGGTCATACAACACTGTATACAAAACTAAAATTTCATCATTTTCTTCACACAACTAGAGCTTTCTTTTGGTGGTATTTAGCCACCACTGGGGTTATTTTTTGCTAAATTAACAAAAAAAAACCTAAAATTTTGAAAAGAAAAAAAAAAAAAAAATCACAAGTTTTTCTTTGTTTCTGTTATAAAAGTTTGCAAATAAATAGTTCTTCATAAATTTAGGCCAAGATGTATTCTGCTATATTTCTTTGGTAAAAATAAATACCCAAATGAGTTATAGAGTTCACAAACTATGGGATATATCTGAAAATTGATCAAACCCCTTTTTGCAAAGTAGACAGTCCGACGTGTTTCATAACAGTCAAGCGAAGAAATTAAAAAAATAAATTCACAATTTTTTTTTTTCTTCACATACTGTCACCAGTGCAGTACAGCGTCATCATATAACTGGCATGGCAGTGATCAGGGACACTGACTGGTGACAGTACAGAAAAAAAAAAAGTTTTCGATTTTAAATTTTTTATTACTTTTTTTCTCTTTAAGATTTTTTTTTCATATTGCACTATGACCAAAGTAGTATAATGTTACCATAGTAACATTGTACTACTTCGGGGAAGTAATCAGTATTTTTTTTTTTTTTTTTTTTTTCCACAATTTGCTTATAGCAAAGAATCTCCTAGATTGTAAGCTCGAAAGAGCAGGGCCCTCGAACCCTTCGTGTATTGTATTGTCTCGTGTACTGTACCCCACTATAATGTACAGCACTGAGCAAACCTTTTGGCGCTATATAAACACTGTATAATAATATTATAAATTATTTTGCTATAAGCAAGCATTTACCTGAATGAAATCGATTCATTCAGGGGGTTTTTTTTTGTGATTAGCTGTGACTTGGCCACAGCTAATCACATGACACAGCTGGGCTGTGATTGGCCCAGCTTGTGCATGTGATCGCTGTGACCATTCACAGCTAGAGACACACCTGTATACAATGGATGGCATGAAAGGAAGCCATCCATTGTATACAACTGTCATGTTACCTGCTGTGATAGGTCACAGCAGGTCACATGGAACTGGCAATGGGGCCAATACACAGATCTGTCATCGGTGACAACTTTTGTTGCCAACAGTTTAGACATTAATGGCTGTGTGTTGTTATTTTGAGGGGACAGCAAACTTACACTGTTATACAAGCTGTACACTCAATACTTTACATTACATTGCAAAGTGTCATTTCTTCAGTGTTGTCACATGAAAAGATAGAATAAAAAAAATATTTACAAAAATGTCAGGGGTGTACTCACTAATGTGAGATACTGTATGTACAGCATTGCACTATCGCATAATCGTCAGTTAAAATAAAGCAATGTTGAATTTGGAAAAAAAATGGCCTGGTCAGGAAAGGGTGTAATTTCCTGGGAATCTATTGAAGTTCAAAAAGAAAAAAAAAAAAAAAAAAAAAAAAACAACAACAACTAGCAGATATTAACTGTGCCAAATAGTTTATTTTGTTTGCCAGTCACCATAAGGAATGGAAAATATATGGTTTTACTTACGGATCAATAGAGATTTTTATGCAGTTCATATTTTTATCTCTTTGCTTATTGTCAGCTGCGTTGACTGTAAAATTGGAAAAAAAAAAAAAAAAGTGTTTAGAACACAGCAAGAAAAAAAAGGCTGCACCATAAATGCTGTTCATTTACATTTGGCACCATCTCTGACAAACTTTACAGTCCAACAATGCTGTTAAATGCCTGTGTGTTTTGTAATTTAAACGCAGGTTTTTACTTGTTTTTGTTAAAGGATTTCTCAACAAGCAAAATGTCTTCTACAGCACATGTAACATGTTGCATATGCAGATGTTGTTACATGTATGCATGCTTTGAAGCAAAGTACAGGGAAGGGGGTTAAAAATACAAAATGTGTGTTACTTCTATTTTGAACAAAAGCCATTTAATAAAAGGGAGACCCAATGAAGATTTCAGGCCTGCATCAACATCAGATTCAATGAGTGGTAGGGATACAACGATAACGTGGGTTATTTTTTTTAACTGGCAAGTAAGAGTATTGATACTTTCGGTCAAGTACTCGCAGATACAGAATACTGATACTTTGCGAAGCGATTTGCGTTAATGGACGCAAATTGCACCGCAAAGAATAGCATGCAATTTGAAAAGGAATGTGGTTCCTGTCCAAAATTGCATGCAGTTTCCCCCCACTGCTCCTATGAGAACCAAGGCTTGGCATAGCCCAAGTTCACCCAAGAGCGGTGTCACACAGGAGCAGTTCAGGAAACATCCCTGCAGGCATCCCATGCTGAGTGTCAGTGGTAGGAGAGAAAGCAGCAGGAACCAGTGTTCACACAGGAGTGGTGTGGGAAAACTCCCTGCAGGCATCCCATGCTGAGTGTCAGTGGTAAGAAAGGAGAGAAAGCAGCAGGGAACCTGAGTTCACATAGGAGTGGTGCGGGAAAATTCCCTGCAGGCATCCCATGCTGAGTGTCAGTGGTAGGAGAGGAGAGAAAGCAGTGGGGATTTCAAACTCAAACATTTAACTGTAGAAGATAAATATATAGTCTGCTGCCCTGTCAAATATGGCTATACACATCTCAGAACTGGACAAAGAAATCCTCTGGCCACTTTATTAGGTAAACCCGTTAAATTTCTTGGTAACACAAATTGCTAATCAGCCAATCACATGGCAGCAAGAAAGGGGATTTAAGTGACTTTGAACGTGGCATGGTTGTTGGCGCCAGACAAGCTGGTCTGAGTATTTCATAAACTGCTGATCTACTGGGATTTTTATGCACAACCCATCTCTAGGGACATTGAGAATCATCAGACCAGGCAATATTTTCCCTAATCAGCCAATCACATTGCAGCAACTCAATGCATTTAGGCATCTAGACGTAGTGAAGACGAATTGCTGAAGTTCAAAACAAGCATCAGTTTTGAACGTGTCATGGTTGTTGGTGCCAGATGGGCTGGTCCGAGTATTTCTAAAACTGCTGATCTACTGGGATTTTCATGCACAATTATCCCTGGGGTTTACAGAGAATGGTCTGAAAAAGAGAAAATATCCAGTCAATGAAAATGCCTTGTTGATTTCAGAGGAAAATAGGCAGACTGGTTTGAGATAATAGAAAGGCAACAGTAACTCAAATAACCACTCGTTACAACCAAGGTAGTCAGCATACCATCTATGAACGTACAGCACGTTGAAGCAGATGGGCTACAGCAGCAGAAGGCCACACCAGGTTCCACTCCTGTCAGCTAAGAACAGGAAACAGGCTACAATTCACACAGGCTCACCAAAATTGGATAATAGAAGATTGGGAAAAAGTTGCCTGGTCTGGTGATTCTCAATTTCTCTAGAAATGGTTGTGCATAAAAATACCAGTAGATCAGCAGTTTATGAAATACTCAGACCAGCTCGTCTGACACCAACAATGCCATGTTCAAAGTCACTTAAATCCCCTTTCTTCTCCATTCTGATGCTTGGTTTGAACTTCAGCAAGTCGTCTTCACCACGTGTAGATGCTTAAATGCATTGAGTTGCTGCCATGTGATTGGATGATTAGCAATTTGTGTTACCAAACAATTGAACAGGTGTACCTAATAAAGTGGCCAGTGAAAGTATGTATTTAGGGCAATATAAACTTTTTTTTTTTTTTAATTATAAATTTACCTGTAAAAAAAGAATAAAAAAAACACATTTCCTCAAACATCCTTTAAAGTAAATATTTCATATAGATAAATAAAAAACTCACCAAGAATCTCATCAAATATTTTATACAATCCTGGTACATAAGTTATATCGCGGCAATTCATTCCAATGTCCTCATCATAAACCCACATTGACTAGAATAAAAGACAACACACATTGTCTAGATTAAATAACACACAGCATCAATTAGCTTACAGTCAGACAAGGACAAGTATAAAAACAAACCAACACACGTAGAACTTTGAAACATACTTATGTGGCAAGCAAATCAATTTCCGTACTTGCTGACCACTACAAGAAGTATTAAAGACTTCAGTCTAGCACAACACCACTTTTATACCACTACAGACTGAACTAATAGAGAATCTGTTTCTTCCAGAATGAATTACACATTTTTCTCCTGTGCATTACCACTTCTTAGGTCCTTGAGTTAATTAACTGCTAGCTGATGGTTGGCTGAAAATGGTCCAAAGCAAGAGAGTTAGGACAGCAACGCATTACTGGTAAACACTATGCATGTGGAGCACCCTACAGAGAATACAAATGAAGACTTCCATTTTAATGCTACAACCTATGATGAAAATACTTTCCAAAGCCCTGCTAATCACCAAACAAACTTACACCTCCAACCTTTTATATAAAAGGTTTAAAGGGCCCCACCGCAAAAAAATGGCAAATTATTTTTCAAAATTAATGCAGTATTAAACCCAAAAGCAAAATATGTATTATACTGCAGCTTACTAATTCCTAGATGTGATGACTGCATTAGTTTTAAGGCTTCATGCACACTAGCTTATTTTTAAGCTCCTAGCAGCTAATTATGAGCCTTTTTTTCTGCCCCTAGAAGCAAATATTGTTATCCTATTTGTCCATGCACTTTATTTGTAAGCTAAAAGCATCTTTCAAGCTTCAGCTTCTAAGAACAGAAAAAAACATTTTGGGAGCAATTTTTCAGCAGAAAAACATGCCGAATGTTCCTAAATGCTACTAAAAACACCTAAAGGCTTTTTTTTTCTAGCTTTTTTTTCTGCTTTTCCCTACGTGAATTGTAAAAACACTAATGCTCCTAAAAGAGGTTATTACCAGCATGTTTTATCCGGGTTGTTTTTCAAGCATTTTATGAGCTTATAGCGGGGTCAAAAAATAAAAAAAAGTCAGCAGCTACAAAACTGTAGCTGCTGACTTTTAAAAAAACAGCCACTTACCTGTTCCTCAGTCCTGCGGTGTGTTCCCCACAGCCGTTTCACTGGCCGTCCTGTATTCCAGGAGGCCTGCATCTTCAGTGTGGGCACCCGGCTGTGATAGCATTGCGGCTTCACAACCGGGAACCCACTGCGCATGCGTGAGTAAAGCTGTGCTTCACGAATGGTCCTGTAGTCTTCTGGGACCTGTCACGTGTCCCAAAAGACTACAGGGAGGGAGGGTAGGAGGACAACTTCCGCTTAGGTGAATTGGACCAGAAGCTGGAGCGGGTACCTACAAATTCGGTCCCCTTGAAGGTGCCAATCCTTAATGGGGTGCGGGGGGGGGGGGTGGTCCGTCCTTAAAGCGGAACTTCCCCTTTTGGGTGGAGCTCCGCTTTAAGATGAAAAAGTAAATAAATAAAATACTATACTAGTGTGCATGGAGCCTAAGGGTGGTATTGCCAACAGGTAATTTGTCTTTCAACAAAACAAGCTGTCCTGCAAATGTAGGAGTTAGAGGGTTGAGAAAAACCATTTGGCACAGATAAGTGTGCTCACAATGATCAGCTTGTATTCATTTATGTAAAACCTTTATCCCAAAAAGGGAAAAAAACTGTTATAAACTGCTTAAAAAGTGTTAGCACAGGTTTGGCGTCAACTTGTTAGTGTTTCTAAATCTGCTAGTACATGTAACATCCCCCCCAGACTGACAATGCTACTGTCCAAAAGGTGTCTCTGTTGTTCCTTCATCAAGAATGGGGGCACTCTTAATACAGGAGATGATTTACTGGCCAATTCACCAGGTGAAAAATGGGGGGGGGGGGGGGGGGGGGGGGGGGGGGGGGGGGGGGGGGGGGGGCCTGAAAAGAAATTTAATGCAGCCACCACATCTAATTATAGGTAAGCTTCAATATATTACATTTTTGGTTTGAAGTTTAGAACGGCTTTAAACATAATTCTTATTTTGTACATTACAAGAAAAGTGCAGCAAGTATAATATGTAAAAACATTATATAAGATATTTAATGTGAGTGAGCACTTCAAGATATTCCACATTTCAATACATTAAAACGCAGATATATTTATATACCTGAGTGACAGGCTCCACAGATCCAATGTATGTATCAGGTCGGAGGAGGATATGCTCAAGCTGAGTCTTCTTCTGGTAGACTCTCTCCACAGACATTTTCTTAGAAGAATCATTTTTGTTGTTACTGATGTTTTCACTTTCTTCTTTTTTCGATACATTGTTCTGATTATCAAACAACGTCTGAAAGCCAAAAATGGGACACAGAATGAGAAGCACTCTCACAAAATAGTAGGCTATTTTTCTACTTCAAAGAACAGTTTTACAAGACAGGCGATTACACAGGCAGACAGATAAAAGTGAAGTTAGAGGTTTATTTCTTAAAGGATTGTTTTCTTAACAAGCACTAGTAGAGACAGAGAGGAAAACTCCACAACCAGACCATTGGTTCTTTGAAGCTGAAACACCAAGAACAGGAGCAGGTGAACACCAAACGTCTGAAAACACAGAACAGAAGTAGTGCAGACTTTTCCTATGGCTGTTTTGCGGTCCCTTAGTTGCATGAAGAGTAAAACCCATCAGCTGGGACAGCTCAGGCTGCAATACTTACCTCCTCTCCAGAACTATTCCCCAACAGAGGTTCCAGTCTACATGTTGAATAGCACTAGGGTCATTACCAATCACTAAAAACGACCTGTTTAGTGGACATACCCAGATGTGGGATTGTGGAAAAATGGTAAAGTTTGGAGTGGGTCTACACTCCTAAAACCTAAAAGGTTTAGCCATGTCTAGCAAATCCGTACTACAAAGACAGTACAATAGATGGATAAAAGGGACCTGGTCAAAAAGAGCAGCTTGTAAAAGCCCACTGTAAATGCCATCTCTCTCACAAATGACTTGTTTTACACTGTTTGAAGCATAAGAGTTTACATCATGATTTTAATGTTAATATGTGCTATTAAATACTCCTCAAGAGCAACAAAAGATAAATCCACCTCAAAAATAGACATACCTTCTGTATGAAAAACAATCGATTATCGCAGAGTTCGGCTTAACTGCATGCCGCCTGCCCACAGTATATGTACGTCATCCAGACTGTTGCGGGTTAGGGGCATGCAAGCGCACACGCCCGCTGCTAACCCCCGCTATCACTGGCAACAGTGGGATTTTGTCAACAGGAACAGAGACCCGCTGTAGCCAATCACAGCACAGAGCCCTGTATTTACAAAACACACAGTACACAGACCAGCAATCTGGATGATTGTTCTCCCTGCAAACCAGGGAGGAAAAACAGCCAGATCTGTAAGTAAAAGCAGTACATATTATACGTGTTTGGCACAGTTAACCCCTTGATGTTAACCCCTTCCCAGACAGTGTCATTAGTACAGTGTAAAGTATATAAGCACTGATCACTGTATTAGTGTCACTGTTGAGGTCAGTGTCAGTCAGTGTACCTCTCAACCAGCACCAGATTTTGTCCTCCATACTATCGCAGTTCCACTATAAGTTGCTGATCACCATTACCAGTATAGCATCATAGCTGTGTAAATTCCAATATATACAGCAAGTAAAAAGAACAGATCATGTCACCATTTTTCTAGGTAAATATATTTATAAAGGTGCCATTTAGATGAAATACAATCCATGCATACAAAGAAATCAAGACAAATACATTCATAAATTAAGTTATGTGTAATAAAATGGAATGACACAGGGAAAAGTATTGAACACAGAAGAAAGGGAGGTGCAAAAAGGCATGGAAAGCCAAGACACCAGCTGAAATCTATCAGTAATTAGAAAGCAATCCTGCCCCCTGTCAGTGCAAATTAATATCAGCTGGTTCAGTCTCAACTGATGGCCTATAAAAAGGAGCCTTATTACCAAGGTGTCACACAAGAAACATCTCAATGGGTAAAACCAAAGAACCCTCTCAAGACCTTTGCATCCTTATTGTTGCAAAACATACTGATGGCATTGATTACAGAAGGATTTCTAAATGTGTTTCAGAGAGCACAGTTGGGGCCATAACCTGGAAGTAGGAAGAACATCATTTCACCATAAACCATCCACAACCAGGTGCTCCTAACAAGATTTCTGACAGAGAAGTGAAAAGAATTATCAGAAGAGTTGTCCAAAAGCCAAGGACCACTTGTGGAGAGCTTCAGAAAGACCTGGAATTAGTAGGAACAATTGATTCAAAGAAAACAATAAGTAATGCACTCAACCGCCATGGCCTGTATGCACACTCGCTTGTTTAAATATTTTCTGCACAACATTTAGAGAAGCCTGTGAAATATTGGGAGAATATAATCTGGTCAGAGGAGACTAAAATTGAACTCTTTGGATGCCATAATACACACCATGTTTGGAGGTCAAATGCCAATGCACATCACCCCAAAAACACCATACCAACAGTGAAGTTTGGAGGTGGGAATATCATGGTGTGGGGCTGTTTTTCAGGATACGGTACTGGCAAACTTCAGGTCATTGAAGGAAGGATGAATGGGAAAATGTACCAAGACATTCCTGATAAAAATCTGCTGCCATCTACCAGAATGACATGAAACAAAGGTGGACATTTCAGCAAGACAATGATCCCAGAGATAAAACCAAGGAAACTCTCAATTGGTTTCAAAAAAAGAAAATAAAGCTGCTAGAATGGCCCAGCCAATCACCTGAGTTGAATCCAACAGAAAATCTATGGAAAAAACTAAAGATCAGAGTTCATAGAAGAAGTACACAGAACCTTTAAGATGTGAAAACAGTGGGAAGAATGGGCCAAAATTACACCTTAGCAATGCATGTACAGTAACTAGCTTCTCCATACAGAAGGCATCTTGAAGCTGTCATTACCAAAGGATTATGTATGAGGTATTAAATAAATTTCAGTTAGCATGTTCAATACTTTCTCCATGTGTCATTCCATTTTATTACACAATCGTATTTCTGAACTTATTTGCTTTGGTTTCTTTGTATGTATGGATTTCATAGGTTGTTACGGACATGTGGTGGAAATGTCACGTCGATAGCACCTTTAGAAATTATATATTCACTGAGAAAAATGGTCATGTGTTCAATACTTATTTTACCTACTGTATACCATCCTTTGTAGACACTAACTTTCACACAAACCAATAATATACACTTATCGGGATTTTATTTTCACCAAAGACATGTAGATGAATACATTTTGGCCTAAAATCATGAAGAATTTTTTTTTTATTGGATAGGTTTTGTAACAGAAAGTAGTAGTAAAAATTTGTCTTTTTTTTCGTTTATATAATAAAAGAAAAAAAAAATTGGTGAGCAAATACCACCAAAAGAAGCTTCTAGTTGTGTGAACAAAATTATACAAATTTAAATTTTGGTGCAATGTCACCTGATCGAGCAATTGCCAGTTAAAGTAGCACACTGCGGAATACCAAAAATGCTCTGATCATGAAGGGAGGTAAAACCTTTCCGGAGGTCAAGTGGTTAAAGGAGGGAATTGTGATGCATTTTGTGATTTTTAACAGCAGTCAAAACCGAACTGACACTAGATAGGTGATCAACATTTCCTACAATGCAGATTAACATCCAAAAAACAGACAATGCACAGACGGGGATCAGCACCTTTTAAGCTGCATGCACACAGGTATAGAAAAACACTCTCATACACCAAAACCTTTCTGGCAGGAGCTGGCAGAAAAATCCAGGGTAAAAATGATAATTTTGGTGTAGAATTACACGCATTTACAGCAATTAGGCATTACGAAACTTTCCTCTTCTTCTGGTGAAGCCATTCCTTTGTTAATTTGGATGTATGCTTTGAGTCATCATGCTGAAAAATTACGTTCCTCTTCATGTTCAGCTTTCCAGCAGAAGCCAGAAACTTTTGTGCCAATATTGACTGGTATTTGGAACTGTTCATAATTCCCTCTACCTTGACTAAGGGCACGTTCCAGCTGAAGAAAAACAGCCCCAAAGCAGGATGCTGCCACCACCATGCTTCACTGTGGGTATGGTGTTCTTTTGGTGATGTGTAGTGTTTTTGCATCAAACATATCTTTTGGAATTAAGGTCCAAAGGTTCAACCTTAGTTTCATCAGACCGTAGCACATTTTCCCACATGCTTTTGGGAGACTTCAGATGTGTTTTTACTAAATTTAGCCAGGCTTGGATGTTTTTCATCATAAGAAAAGGCTTCGATCTTGCCACTCTACCCCATAGCCCAGACATATGAAGAATATGGGAGATTGTTGTCATAAGTACCACACAGCCAGTATTTGCCAGATATTCCTGCAGCTCCTTTAATTTTGCTGCAGGCCTCTTGTCAGCCTCCCAGACCAGTTTTCTTCTTGTGTTTTCATCAATTTTGGAGGGACGTCCAGTTCTTGGTAATGTCACTGTTGCATCATATTTTCTCCACTTGATGGTGACTGTCTTCACTGTGTTCCATGGTATATTTAATGCCTTGGAAATTATTTTGTACCCTTCTCCTGACTGATACCTTTTAACAATAAGATCCCTCTGATGCTTGGGAAACTCTCTGTGGACCATGGCTTTTGCTGTAGGATGCGACTAAGAAAATGTCAGGAAAGACCTACTAGAACAGCTGATCTTTATTTGGGGTTAATCAGAGGCACTTTAAATAATGGCAGGTGTGTACTGACTAATATTTAACATGATTTTGAATGCGAGTGCTTAATTCTGAACACAGCTACATCCCCAGTTATAAGAAGGTGTGCACACTTATGCAACTGCATTGTTTTAGTTTTTTTAAGTTTACTTCCCTCCCCTAAAATATTTCAGCTGGTTTTTCAATTGAGTTGAACAGTTTATAGGACACATTAAGGTGGAAAAGTTCTGAAAATTATTTAGCTTTGTCTCATTTTTTTTTACATCACAGAAACCTGACATTTTAACAGGGGTGTGTAGACTTTTTAGATCTACTGTACATAAAGTCATACTATTGGTTAGAGTATTCATTTGTTCTAGATACAAAAATGAATTCATGCGCATTTGCACGCATTTATGTGCTTATGTGACTGTGTAAATTATGCCAGTAGGCTCCTTTCCGAATGCAGGTTTGGGGTACTTTTTTCCTTTTTAAGCCCCGGAACGCTGCTCTAAAATACAAAATTGAAATGCCAAAATATAGACTTAAATAGAGCTATATTCAGCAATATATTTAGAAAAGAAAGAAAAAAAACAAACTTAAAAACGTGGCATTTTTTTCTGTCCATGGGCATGAGGCCTTAAAAG